CTTCCTTGAGGAATATTGTTAAGCAGCAAGACAAAAATACATACATACACACACGTACACACAAATAATTCTTTTTTAGCCTGTCGGCATAGTACTCCATTTCACCATACGATGCAGCGCGATGGGCGCTACGAGCTACTTCAGCCAGTCCGTAGTTTGTCTTGCGACTTTGCGCTCTGCGCGTCGGTGCGCCCAACCGGAACGAGCACGTGACGCCCCCGAGCTATAAATTGGCTACTGTGGCTCGTATGCCGTCCTTTGCAAACCATCGTAAGGTGAAACAAAATATGCAAAGGTACGCCTTCCCACCGACTCACCCACGCCAATTCGTGCTGTAAATAGACGTGAAATATACCTATTTGTTGCATTATTATTGAGCTGTCCCCATGTCGCCACTGCTGTTTGTTTAGTCAACACTGAACTGCCGAAGCCACCATCGCGAATATTTAATTGAATTTGCGTCACCACCTGCAAGAAAGCGCGGCTCACATTTCATTATGTGGAACCGTTTCCAATGAATTGGCAACCGCCATATGAAATTAAGGTTCCGTTCCAGTTTGGGTTCAAATGTTTGATTTCGGTTGCAGTCTTGTTCCAGTCTAGTTAAAAATAATGGTTTTACTCCGGTTTTCAGTTAGGTTCGACACGGTTAAAAGCTACATGCTAATTGCGCATGATTACAACAACCGCTTTGTCGCATCTCGTGGTGCCAGGTAATGGAACTGTAGGGGGCACTTTATCAAGCTTGTTGTCCACACAGTCCGGAATTTACTAAAACAGCATAAGAAATTGAGCCTCGCCTAGCACAGTCTGGGCACGAGCACTTCGCTCTTATATGTGCTTTGGTCACGTGATGAGCGGCCTTCGAATAGTCATCTTCGATTTCTCGGATCAAAAACAAACAAGAAAATATGGTTTGTTGTCCCCACAGCTGAAGCGCACCGCTAGAGACGTGACTGTTCGGTCTCCTCCCAAATTCAGTTTTGGTTGCTTCACTGACGGTGCGAAGGTCATTCTTTTTTGCATGATTAATCGGCTGCATCACGGTGCTGAGTGTAAACAATATTGGTCAGGAAAGCAAGCGTTGTGACTGTTGCTCAGTGTTTCTCTAAAAGGTGTTATAAAAGGTAGACTGAAAGGGTTTGTTCTAACACTTTACTGACTTTTGAAAATGTTATTGCTTTTAGCTCAGCTGTGTCGTGATCACATATATTGGGAAACCTATTTTGTAAACTAGATTTCAGGACATATATGGCGAGGCTTTGCCCATTTTATGATATGCACTGTAATTTATTCCCAAGTTCAAGAGCAACAGGATTCGACTTTTAATGCTGCGACGCAAAATTGTACCAATCACGAATATTTTAGGCGACCTACCAGACTGATAACCTTTCGATTCAGGTAAAATATATGCGACTGAGGTAAAAAAAATATAGACGTCATATATGTTATCACTCGTGTCCCCTACTTTAGGCTTAGGACAGCGGGAGGCAATTTGACATTCATGTTACTCTGCTTCATTCGAGAGGTTGAACCAAATCATTTCGAGGAAGGCTCACAATGGTAAGCGATTGCAAATGCTGTGAACTATGCATGCTAGCAATTGTTTGCGATCTGCAGGCTGACTAGCTGCCGTGGCGACTGCGAGCAGACAATATTATTTGGTTTAATGGCACACAATGTGAACGATCATTCAAGTTCAAGATGACGGAGACACACCACCTACCTTTTCAGTCATTCAGACACTTTTTACTCTATCTAGCTTCGCAGGTCTTGAAATTTCCACCAGAAAATGTTACGTCAGCCGTCTTGTTTACATCAGTCGCACGCTGGAAACACGAGCTGCCACGGTTTCACACGCTGCAGAATGTTTCACATGTTTACTAGAAGATGGCGCTGCTGGTCAAATGCAATCATCATCATCGTTTACACGGTTGCGTTAGTTTCACGATACTAAAACATGTTGAATTTCACATACAGTTTGACAGGACGGACCAGCTGCACCGTTCATTATTCCGGAACCGTGTGCTCTAAAAACGACTCGCTAAAACTCCCCACTGTTTTGCTAAACTTCTTGATATTGTTCTTATTTTAATATGATATGGGAGCTGCATTTGACAAACTGAAGAGCTATAGGGAGTATTCACTGGCGGCCATATCTGTGTGCGTGGTTGCTCAGCGCGCTGCTTCCACAGTTCTTTTGCAACGTGCATTCCACACCATCAAGATTGCTGGTCTTCGCAGGCTATTAATGTGAGCTCGTTCTGAGCATGCGCCCTAAACATCACCCTCAAATATGGCGTCCAGTGAATGCTCTTTATAGGTTCATGGATACAGGGTCCGTGTACTGAGGCATGCAGACAAAAATTAATTTCTTTGCAATAGTTTATAATAAATTATAAGTGTGAAAGGAATTTTCTGATCACTGACTATTTGAAGTTGAAATATAAAAATATCCTACCAGAATTTTCACGACAATTTGCGGAGATTTATTCAGTGTAGTGTAAAACAGTGCTTGTGGCTTTAAAGTCTGTGAATATTTTAATAATTTGTGTAAGTGGTTTTCAATAAACATTGTTTTGTTCACTTTCTGTGGCCATGCACCATCCAGTGATATGCTCTTGGGACACTCATGGCCATGGGTGCCACTAACAAAGTTAAAAATATTCACCACAATATTTAGATTTTTTCTGAAATAATATTTCCCAGTGAGCAGTACGAACAAAACATCTGAAACAGTTTATCATCAGGTTTAAAACCCGAGACTGTAATGAGGGAAAACAAATAGGAAACTTTGAAGTTCGAGAAACTTTGAAGTCCTTCACAGTGCAATCTTGTGTGAAACAGAATCACACATGAGGGGACACACATGGGTTTAACAATGTACAAAGTACATGAAATATGAACACAACATAAACAGAAATGATTATGGTAGCCTTTGTACAGACAAAACTGGAATATAGTACACAAGATAAATTTATCAATACATGTCCAAAGAACAACACAGCACATGAAGCAATAGAGCGTGGCTGGCTATAAATAAAATGAATAAGTGAAATGAATCCATGAAATATATTCACATAGAACACCTTTACGTTGCACCTGCACATCTAAATTTTCTCTTCAGAAACAAACAAAATATTAAAAGCAGTGCAGATGTTTCATTACATGGAGTCACTTTAGCAATCTTTTATATAAGATTCTTGAGCCAGAGTACCATTATACACACAGTGCAAAAGTTTATTTAAACATCCACTATTTTGGTAACAGAGAAAAGATTATTCATATTTTACAGATGAGTGATGTTCCATAAGAAATGAAAGAAAAATATGTTGTACTGTACGGCTAGTTTTGAGTTACTACTCTTGCAGAGATTGCCCAGATTAGACTTGATTATAAATCTTTACAGTGCATGCCAAAGTAACTCTAGAGCAGGGGTAGCCAAACTGTGGCTCAAGAGCAGCATGTGGCTCTTTGTGGGTCCAAATGCAGCTCGCAACTACCTGGTAAGCATCCCTTCCCTTCCCTTCCCCCTTCCCCACAACAAACTCAAAAGAGTCATAAAAACAAAACAAAACAAAAAAAAAAAAACACTTGCATTTTGGTAATTTTGTGCAACCTAGAGTTGGTTTGCGCATCTGTTTTCCACGTACCGCTGCGCCGCTATTTGCTGAGATCCGATCAAGTGCCGTGTAGAAAAGCAGACGTTGCACGTGCCCCGGCGTATGTTCTCCTGCTTTTGAGCGCAGTCAAGCGAGGAGCAGTATCAACATGCCGTGCAGGAAAGGCCGTGCTACGGGGATGAACGCACAACTCTGGCTCCCGTGGGGAGCCTATACAGGAACTCTAGTGCCACCATATATACTGCTTTAAGGCACTCTTTTCTGTAATGAAGGCAGTGAAAACAAACAGCGAGCTACATTAACAAACACAAATCTGCTAAAAAGTGCCACAACATCCTTTAAACTGCAAGGTGCTGGTTTCACGAATGGGGATGCAAAATAAAAATACCATAATGAGCAATCACATTTTGAGTGGAATTCCACGTGGCAACAACCAAATGAGATGAAAGAGAAAAAAAAAAACTGCCTTGCCCGCTTTTACTGTAGCTCTTCAGATAAAATGTTTTTTCTTATGGTCTTATCGCATATGTCCATCTGGATCCTCCTGATCTAGTTTTAAAAATTATACCGTCTCTTCCTGTGCGAATAAAAATCTCACTAGAATGCAACTTTAATTTTTGCAGAAAGAGAACTACTTAGTGCATGGTAGTATGTACACAGAAAGGCCTAGTAATAAGAGACAATAAAAAAGCAACTGCATAGATTTCACACCCACACACATTGGTAGGATTCATGAAGAAGCATGTTACATGTTTCTGGGCCAAGAACAGTTCATATAATTTTTTTTTAGATGCAATAGCTTGTGCCAGAAATTTTGTCAGGGGCCATCCATATGTTGAAAATGAGTATTAATCTTTCAAAAATTACCTCTTTTGTAAAGCACTTGAAAACATGATTGAGTACACATCCACAGTATGCCTTGATGCCGCACATTCAGGGCAACACTGAAATACAGGTCAAGGCATTTCACATGATGTAGGCTGACCACAGGTGGTTCCTGTATGGAACATCATTTACCTCAAAATACTGTGAAACAATAAAGAACTGATTCGAGAACAAGCATATCAAGTTCTTAATACTTGTCTCTGGGGTTGTCACGTCAACTGGAGTTGTCAAAGCTTAGTTCTTCATAGTTTCCAGGAATTATCGCCTCAGTTCAGAATCAGCTTTTATAAAAAGTTAAAAGTGAGTGTTTTAGCATTTGGCAAACAACTGTGAGTGAAAACTGATGCAGTCTTGACTGTGTATAGTTTAATTATAAAAACATAAAACCAACGGTTATCTAAAAAAAGTGATATAAAAGTAAGTTAACTACCCTAGGCCTAGATAAATTTAAGTTTTCCAGCATACTCAGCACTGTTCTAAAGTAAACATACTCAGCACTGTTCTAAAGTAAAGAAAGCGCATTCAGAGACACTATGATATACTATCACAAAAAATGGACTGTCCATTCCATCCCTACTTCGAACATTTTTCAGCAGTGTACTTCAAAAACATGCTCATCTCGATCTTAGCTCAGCACTTGTTTGCTAATCGTCCAATTATAAAAATCAAAAAAAAAAAAAAGACAAGGTTCAGAAAAAACGTTAAGAGCCATGTGGAGAGGTAACATTGGGGTCGTCATCCTCGTAGAGAGAGTGCCTCGCTGAAGATTCGGGCGATTCGCGAAACACAGCTGCGTAACTCCTGCGTAGTGTAGTGATGTAGGAAGACAGGTTTCGGTTGCTTGCAATCTCCCTGTTCAACTTCTCACGCAGCTCTTGATTCTCGGCAATCAACTGCAGCTTCTCCTGTACAAGAGAATACATGCACCCTGCTGGTTTAACTGACTTTTGTGCAGTTCTAGAATTGTACAATTTCCATACCCTCTGCAGCAGCAACTACAGCAGGACTGCAGGAACAAGGGCCACGATAATAGATATACAGTGGACTTCCGTTAATTCGACCTCGACGGGACGTTGAAATTAGGTGAAATTATTCGAAGGATCGAATTAAAAAAAAGGACAAAAAAACGGTTAAAATTAAACTTCCTTTTATTGTGCAAAGTACTCACAGATAGTTTGCTGCCATCTGCGCTTAAAACGCGTATCCAAAAGCATGCTCCAGAGAGCAACGTAACTAAACATCACGTCCCCATAAAATCGCCCACTAAAAAAAATAAAATAAAGAAAAATAAAAAAAAAGTTGAAAAAAGTATGTTTTAAGAGTAGATTTTGGCGCCGGGCAGCCAGAGTGTCAACAACAAAGAAAAATAAAATCAAGAAAAAAAAAAAAAGAGAAAGAGAATTTGCGTTTTCTGACGCGCAAGACGGACTGCACACAATGCTACAGAAAAGTGCTTTGAGAGCGTGTGTTCCACTGAGAAAGCTTTATGAGCTAACTATGGCGCCGGGCGGCCAGACCTTGTAAGCAGAGAAAAATAGCACAAAAAAAAAACACGAAAAGACAGCTTGCACTTTTTGGCGCACGACCACGTGCTATGTTCTCCACGCTACTCCACGCCAAATTAGTTGCGCTGTGTCATCTGCTATGGTTAATTTCCACGGTGTAGAGGAGCAGGCGCATATTTGCGCACGTTCGGCTTTGCAGCAAAAGGCCTGTGTTTCACCAAACACTGGTGCAACAATAGTTGACCCAGTCTTGACTTTGTTCTTCCCAGGTAGGAACAATTTCTCTTCTGTATGTTCAGTAGCTACCCATGGTCTAAATGAATGACTTCCCTAAGCTGTGAGCGGAAAGATTTGCACCCCTAATCCTGGAATCCCTCGGAGACAGATGTTCCATGTCCTGGATGCTGCCTGTCAATGCTCGTGTTTTGAGCAGAAAACAACAGGTTCAGAGTACTACTATGCCAAAATATGTCCCAATCTTAAAGAAGCAAGTGCTGGCGAAATCATCATTTTATGTTTTTTCACACATAAGGTAGCACACCCAATGAAAAGGGTGGCCTTTGAGTTCTTGAGCAACTGACATATCCAAATCTACCGTGAAAACGAGCAAGTTGATTCATATTTTTTTTTTTACACATTAATTCATATTGGAAATGCAGACTAACCTGGTTTAGCAATGCTTACAATTTTTATTGAATGGTCGCCACTTAAAAGGAACTAAATGTCACTCCCCACATTGTGAGCCCGCGCGCATTCGCTCGGGACGAATTATCCAACCGAGGTCGAGCTAACGAAAGTTTACTGTAAGACTGTTCGGTAGAATAATGAATTTGAAATTAAGTCCTCTTTGAAATATTTCTCTCGATGTTGTAAGTGCTTACCTAAAAGGTAAATCTTAGTAACTTTAATTCTGTATCCTTATTTTTTTTTGCACTACTATCAGTCTCTTCTGTGACAAAGATAGTGGTGGGAAACGTAATTTGTATGTTTAACAAGATCTATACAACAGTTCAACAATCAGTTGCAAACACAGTCAAACACAGTTATCCCACGCTCCTTTACTAAAGGGGCACTAGAGTGATTTCTGAACTCAATCACCACGCTCTAAGTATTCTTGAAACCAGACTAAACCTTTGCCTACCGCAAAAATTTTGAAAAAAACGATTTGAAACTATTGAATTTTTTTATGTGCCCTATAAAGTTTATATGCAATACAAAGGCCAAGACAAATGCCAAAATATTTTTTATATTAGAAATCTTTGAGAAAAAAGGATTAAAGTACCGCTTCACTGGATTACCGCAGACAGTTCACATCACCTTGCACGCAAAAGGAACGCAAAATGGGGAGGGGCTGGAGGGGGATTTTCTACATTGATTCTAGTCCAATGCTGACACGCCGACACGATGTCCTCATCAAAATCAAAGTCGTCCGAGCTGAAATTCAATAACTCAGTTACATCGCTCTAACTGTTCGATGAAATATTCATTTCCTCATTTTCTGAAACTGAAGAGACGACACAATAACTTCGTTTTCGCCCCAATTTTGAGGCAAGATCGTCACTACGAACGCAGCGACCAGAAGGTGATGCCGCCATTTTTAAATCCCCTATTGCCTGCGTTGTAACAATTTTCAGCCCAATTCAGAAATTTACTATGCTTTTCTTTTCCGTGAAACGCCATCTATCCATGGCAAAGCTCACTAGAAACACGTGGACTAGCCCAGTTCGTCCATGGTAGCGTATTGGAGCCCGAATCAACATGGACGAGCCCAGCTCGTCTTCGGGGGGAGCGGTACAAACAGTGTGGACGAACCCAGGTCGTCCATGGTAGGGAAAGGGTTAAACTGACACATGTCTGATTTTCCTACTAAAAACAAAACCAAAGATCACGGCACGTGCGTTTTTCTGCGATTCGGCGCAAGAACCAGGGGGCTCAACCAGAAATGTAATGGCCAATCGTGAGCAGTTGCTTTCTGTGCACGACTCGCACACTTTTGGAAATCAGTCTGCCGTTGTTCGGTCCCCTGGCTTCGCGGGAAGCGATCGCTCGTGAACGGCTGTCACACATCCGGTGGCGCACTTCTGCACCAAATCGTAGTAAAATGGCCGTGTCGTGATCTCTGATCCCGTTTTTAGTATTATGTTTTTAATAGAGAAATTGTATGTGTATCAATGTAATCTGTGGTGTTTTAGAATGCTTAGCGCCCGTATACTGAGTTATGATTATAAATTTACGATCTCACGAGCCACTTAAGTCATCGAAGGTATGAGGAAATTTTGTGTTACAATTGCTACCCTAGTTTTGCCAAATAAATTTCCTATATATTGACAGAGACAGTGCTGCCTTTAGGGAAAGAGGAAAATTTCAATTACTTTAATGCAAACTTTTTAAAACCATTTTCTGTCAAACATGAGAAAACGTCATTTTGACCTTGACACAAGCAAAATCGCAAACTAATCAGTTGAGCAGATGTTACTCAGTTACCAATGGATCCCGTCAGTAGTAATGCTAATCCTGCATTTTCAGGCGAGTCCAATCGACTCCAAAAGACAATTGCTGGCAACACTTTCAATCGTCCTAATTTCTTTAAAAAGCCTCAGAATGTTGAGACATATATGGGAAATACCCAACTTATATTTCACTTGTCAAGGGTCAATGTTTTCAGTTCAACATTCAAAAAGGTCTTTTCAAAATCAATGTTATCAAAAGAGGAGATGGCCAGCACTGCAACAATAGCTGACCCAGTCTTGACTTTGTTCTTCCCAGGTAGGAACAATTTCCCTTCTGTATGTTCAGTAGCTACTTATGGTCTAAATGAATGACTTTCCTAAGCTGTGAGATGAAAGTTTTGTTCCCCTATTCCTAGAATCCTTCGGAGACAGATGTCTTGTATGCTGTCTCTGAATGCTCGTCTTTTGAGCAGAAAACAACAGGTTCAGAGAACTATGCCAAGATATATCCCAATTTTAAAAAAGCAAGTGCTGGCAACATCATCATTTTATGTTTTGTCACACATAAGTTAGCACACCCAATGAAAAGGGTGGCCTTTGAGTTCTTGAGCAACTGACATATCCAAATCTACCGTGAAAGCGAGCAAGTTCATTCAAATTTTTATACACATTAATTCATATTGGAAATGCAGACTAACCTGGCTTAGCAATGTGTTTACAATTGTTATTGAATGATTGCCAATCAAAAATGAAGTAAATGTCACTCCCCACATTATTATCCGGGTCAATAGAGTGTTTCTAATGTTACCACTGGTAGTAAATCAGAAGGATTATCCTGCTATCATTACTGTGACATGAAAGAATATGCACATATATTGTACTACAAACAGTTGCAAAGATTTCAGACTCCTGGGAATTGTACATTTTGACCCCACAATAAACATTTTTTTTCCATTAATTCAAATTTACTTCTTACTACAATCAAAACCTTTCTGCCACACTACAGTCAACGACGTGATTACAACAGCAGGGACGTCTTTCGGTTGTCCCGCCTCCGGCACAAGCTTACTACATTCGAAAGTACTTTGCAATCTCGCAAGTTTCGAGCTTGTTCGTGCCAATAGTGCCGCACTGCGTACTCCATACGGCTTGGCGAGTCTCACTGGCTCATAGTCTTCACTAGGTACCATGTTGAGGAGGAGAAGTACAATGCACAACGCAGGAGACATTTTCCCTGCGTTATGCGACAACTGCCGGTTTTGCCCAATTCGAGTCAACCTTTCAATGAAGAAAGCCCATGAGTCCACTTTTTCGCAAAGCCCTCGAAGTGCCCGTCGAATGACGAACCCAATAAAGCTTGAACCTAAAATTGTGATATGCATTACATCCGCACACACTCCCTATTCCGGTACACACCAATCGTTAAGATTGGCTCCCCTCGTGTCATGCAGCAAAGCAAAGGTGTATGCCCGGTTGGCAGGGATCAACCTACGTCCAGGTAAGTATGAGAAGGAACGGAACAGCGGAATGCACCTTGTCGTCGTCGTCGCCAGGTCTCCGGTACAGGGCACTGTGCACATGATCCCTCCCTTCGGTGGCAACATGCGACGGTATCCTTCGTGAGAGAAAAGACGACCAGTCAGGAACTGAATTGGGTGCCCAGTGTAACACAACTTTAGCTCAGTTTCTAGCCGAGACCTACCGTGGAAAGATTACGCCTTCTGGATTCCATTGCATGACAGACAAGCTCGATAAATACGGAAATAATGTTGCGTCAAAGTGTAGGGCGCCTACGAAAAAAATTTGTTATGTTTTGCCCAGACCAGATGCCAAACTTCTAGAGCTTGCCGTTATCCGATTAAAAAATTACGAGAGATTCTCGGAAATTTTCAAAGACGAAATGACGGCCAACGAAGCCCGCAAATGCATGGAAATGACTGGCATTTGCTACTAAAGACGGTCCTCGTTTGCTTGTTGAAAATTTTGGAAAATTGCCTCCAACATTTAAATAAGAGCACAGTATGTTCCGAAACTTTGGCGCCTGGTCCTAACCGCTGGAGCTACATTTGTACAGAAAGTGAGCATTTGGGCATACATTGTTCAGTTCTGCTTCGAGGAAAAACACTTAATTTTTTTTGCAGACCATCAGTACAAGTATATTTTGTATTAGCAGGACATAGAGACATTTGTTATCCATTCAAACAGATATTTACAAAAAAAAAGGGGATAATGTTACATGAAAATCATCTTCACTGCATGTTTGTCAGGCTTGAAGGAGATTGCATGGGAGATTAACTATCACAATCAGTCAGCAAGGCATGCGGAACGAAGACAAAATGGTGTTAATGACCAGATGGCACAATAACAAACTGAAAGAGACATAGCTGAAAAATGCCCGCATCTCCACGTGGTGAATGATCTTGATTGGGGCGAAGCTCTGGTGGTGCTGATGATACTGATTTTGTTCATATATACGCAATTGAGCATTTGACCACAGCGCCCTCTCGTCTATAAACGTTGAGCCAATGCATGCAAAGTTCAACGCGATTATACACGCATTTGACCGCAGCGATCTCTCCTATATAGACGTTGAGCAGCTACATGCAATGTTTCATCCATGACATCCCCAGCTCTTGAGTTACTACCACATCTCAGAGCCCCCTAGTCGTCCCGCAGTCGTGGCCGAGTGGTTAAGGCGATGGACTAGAAATCCATTGGGGTCTCCTCGCACAGGTTCGAATCCTGTCGACTGCGCAAACATTTTTTTCTCTTTTTAAGAAGACAGTTGGGATGGCAATCGATGTCAGCACGGACGCCCGACAAGGCTAGACCCTAAGGAGCTTCGGCCCTAAAATGTGTCCACCCATTCACATGTGAAAACGCAGAAATGTTGGGTGGGTGAATAAACTGCTGAACCATATTATGCGAGTGACGCCTTGCACAACATAGCCGCGGCACTTCATTTGACAGCGTGGTTAGCGACGGGTCAGTGGGCAAGGTGGGTTATTTTTATTATTTGCATTTCAATAGTTAATTGTCATATTTACAGTCGAATCTCGTTAATTCAAACTCGAGGGGGAATGAAAATTTGTTTGAATAAAGCAAAGTTTGAATTACCGGGAGTTTCCTCCCATAGAGACGCAAAGGACGGGACCTGCATGTTAGTTTTAATTATCCACAAGTTTGAATTAAGAGAGTTTGAATTAATGAGAGTCTACTGTGTTAACACAAGTGAGAATAGGTTTGCAGAGCAGTGTTGGCTTAAGGTTATGTGAGCTCCTTGAATTCAAAATGGCAACATGAGTGGTTTGTGTGTTTTCATTAAGTGCGACCACTTCGTGGTCGCACTAAACTTTCAGCCTTTCCACTCTGGTGAAGAAGGAAGACCAGCGAAGCTGCACTATGATGAGACAACCTCAAGGACGACTTCTTGGACGACCTCAAGGACGGCGCCTAGAGGATGGCACCTAGGACGACCTTAAAGACGACGTCTAGGACGAGCTCAGGGACGACCTCAAGAACGACTTCTAGGACGACCTCGAGGACGACATCTAGGACGATGCATAGAGAATTTCAGCCTTTCCACTCTGGTGAAAACCAGAGTGGAAAAGCTGGAAAGGTTGCCGTCATCTATGAGCGAGACCGGCAAACCAGTTGTTTGGTTGCCGCCGTCGCTCATAGATGGTGGTAGCTGTCCAGAGTTTTTGTGTCGTGTGCCCGGCGCTTTGCAACGAAAAATAGCATCAAGAACGAAACGCATGTCTTCCACGTTTCTCCTCAAAAGGAAGAGCTCCGCTTCACCATCGTTGGTGCCTTCGAGGCAAATTCACATTTGTCTTTACGAAGAGCCACACATTTGTTCGGTGTATCCAAGCACACTGTGTGCAAAGCTATCCACGAGATGTGCCCATACAAGCTCAACCCGATTCACGAGTTGTTGCCCGGTGACTACAAAAAGCGACTCGACTTTTGCCAGGACGAGCTCCTCAGGATTGCACAGGATCCATCATGTCTGAAGTTTTTGCAATTTAGTGATGACGCAACATTTCACCTGGACAGGCAGGTCAACACCCAGAACTGCCGCCACTGGAGTTAGACGAAACCGCACTGGACTTTCAAGAGGGCTTCGCAGTCGCTGAAAGTAAGTCTGGTGCGGAATCTAGAGAGAGGGCGTCGTCGGCCCCTTTTTCTTCGATGGAAAGGTGTCTGGAAACACCTATTTGCAGATGATGCAGGACGAGTTTCATCCCGAGTTGGAAGCACCGCAACTGCGGCTAGACGTACACATTTTTATGCATGATTGGGCACCACCCACTGAGCGACAAGTTTAAGGCACTGGCTAGACACCATCTTCTCAGGACGCTGCATTTGCTGGGGATCCCAGAGGCCAAAGATTAACAAAAAGAAGCATTTTTTTTCTTTGTCTTCAGAAATAACAGGAACGTAGAAAATCTTACGAAAGTATGCCAACCACTTTACCTATTGCTTTATTTCTAGAGAGACAAAGCCCGCAAAACTCATTCTGTCAGCCACGCCTACCTTTCTTTTTCTTGTGGCCGTTCCTTGGGCTGACGGTAAAGAGGATCGCCTTCTACCGGATTAAGATTCCAGATGTCCCTTTCGAGCTGCAATCAAAAGGACAATTTTGAACGGAGAATACACGCGGATATTCTATACTAGAAAGGCACCGGCATTTCCATGCAGGAACCAAACCAAGGGGCTTTAAGCTGGACACTCGGTGAGAAACTTAAAGGCCCAGTTCGCAAACCCTGCAAGCCATGATCCGGTAAACAACCCAACCGCTCGGCTTGTATTCCGTGGTCTAGCAGTTGGCTACCAGCGTAAAGTGTGATTTAACTTTACAACGGTGCCAGATATAGTAACATGCTGTATAATTAACCTGGGACGAGGCGAAATAAGAAAAAAGAAAACTCTCAAATGCAGCTACTGCTTTAGTTCAACAAAGTCCCATGTATACGGACATAAATCTTTTCCGACGGAAAGAAACACCTCCTAGCAAAGAAGCCAACGAACAAGTGGCCCTACAAACTGCCCACGGTAACCCCAGATTCATACCACACCCTTACAGGCAGTGTTGAGTAGTAACGCGTTACTAGTAACGCGTTACTGTAATTTTTTTACTTTTTCGGTAACTTGTAACTGTAATGAGTTACTTTTTAAGGATGTAACTTGTAACTGGAGTTCTATTACTTTTTATGAGGTAACGATGAAAGTCAAGGAAGCATTCCTATTTGGCCAACAAAACTTTTTGTTTGGCTGATCAGATTCCTAACGGTCCAATAAAGTCCCTATGGGACCAGTCTAAGTTCCTATGGGACCAATAGGAATGCCTATTGGACCGATAGAAATTCATATAGGCCCAATAGGCATTCCTATGGGATTGGTACACACTCCTATGGGACCAATACAGTCAAACCTCATTATATCGAACACGGATATATAGAATTATTGCTTATATCGAATCGTTGTCGAACTATCATAAGAATTACATGCATTTTAAATTTTTTATAGCAAACTCGGTCGGTTAAAAAATGAATAAATCGAACTCCGTAGCACCGGAAAGCTGCGCTCCGGAGACAGGCGGAAGGCTTTCCCGCAGTACATCAGAGGATACGCAGGCTTTCCCGCAACACATCATAGGATAGCGGTGGCGCAGCAGGCGTTTGCGACTTTTATTCAAGCACATGCCCGCATAAAGCTTTATGCCTGTGGTGCCGGGAACGCCATCCAGATTCGGCGGCATACAGGCTCAGTCCAGTCAGCTCCCCAATCCTATCGCCAGCATCGCTCTTTTCATGCCCTGTGCAGTTTCGTGGCTCCGGGTTCGTTCCTCCGACGTTGCGTCAACCGCATGTGGCGATGGCAACAAACGTAAAGAAACGTATGTCGCTGATGTTCGCGACGAAGCTTGAAATCATCCACCGCGTTGAAAAAGGAGAAAAGAAGTCCAGCATTGCCGAAGCGTACAACATACCGCGAAGCACTTTGAGCACGCTGCTGAAGACGAAAAGTGACATCAAATCGAAAGCTGAACGAAGCAAGCACTCCGGCGCACGCCGTGTTCAGACACCAGCCTTCGAAAAGGTGGAAAGATCACTTCACAAGTGGTTTATGAATGTAAGGGCTCGGAACATTCCGGCGTCAGGCCGATGCTTCAACAGAAAGCAAAGGACTTCGCGTTCATCCACCAAGCACAAAACGTCGCCGCAAGTAGCGGGTGGCTGCAACGCTTCAAAGCCTGTTACAACATTGTCGGGAAGACGGTCTCGCTTTTACGCCGCTACTGCAGTGCAATCAACGGTAGTGATCTGGCACTGGTGGACTGCTTGGAGACAGTGGAGCCGGCCGTAATAAGGCATGCGGTCAGCTCCATGCAGCAATGTACGCTGCGGCATTTTTTTTTGCCGGAATAAATAGTTCACCTTAGCGCTTCACGTATGTACTAGTCATTTTTTGCCATTAGCCTTTTACTGATTAAATCGCGCTGTACTTTGACGCTTTATGTGTGACTTTGTATATCGAATATTGATTATATCAAACTATTTCACGGTCCTCGCACTGTTCGATATACACCAACTCATGTTTACAAACAAACCGGAGCGCCCGGAGTGCCCCTAGCGGACGCCACCGGCGCCGCGCATGCGCGATGGGGGTGTGGGCAAAAAGCCCGCCGTCGCCCATAAACAAACCATTGAAATGCGATGTTGTCGGCGTCGGTGTGAGTCCCCCTGCCCTTTTTCGCGTTCGAATTGTTGGTTCTACGTCTTCCTGGCGATGTCTGACTATCTTGAGCGGCGTAAGCGAAATTACCTAGGCTCATTACACCGCAAAACTTCACATGAATAATGTGACATGAGGCGATTCATTCCGCGTGGACGCCGCAGATTGTACGCTAAAGCCTGATTCGCATGATGAGATTTCGCTCAGAATTTTCAGTCGCGACGCCGCTCGGGCGGCAAAAGCGTGAACCGTAGCTGAGATGGTCGACGACGATACTGAAAATCGCAAGCAGAATCGGAACAACTGAAATAGGCATAACAAGTCGGTGTTGGTCACTGGTAACAATGACTAACATCTCCTCGTATTTACTGTTTACATCCAGCCTACTTACCAACCTTCAAATTTAAGTCTTTTGAGGCCTGCACTCACTTCTTATAGCAAGTACCGCGCCAACATTTGGTCTACGGACCGGCGTCGTCTAAGAGAGCAGACGACAAGCAGAAACGTTTGAAAGAGCAGACGACAATTCGAACAATCAGGCGGCCGTTTGAACTTGAAGACGCACTGAACGTAGTCCCGAGGTGGTCCGCACAACTTGACAGTTTTCTCGCGTTCATGTTAGAACAAAACAAATAAATCTGATGGGCACAAGTATCCGTGAATTCAACCCAAAGTGCTTCCCGCCCAAGCAATCGTTGTCCGACGGCGTCTGCTTTTCCCTTTTCACGGCACATATCCAGATTCTCGTACGAACCGAGCACGTGAAAACTGACCTTCAAACCTTTCTCGACACTTTTGGTACGGCCCCAGTCGCGGCGTTTTGACGAGAAGTTAGGTTTTAGTCTGGTTCCTTTCAAAACAACGCAGGAATACACGTCTGGCATGGGGACTTCTGCCCACAGCCCCAGATCGGAAGTGCGACCGACGCGCCACCACCGCGCCGTGACGTCACAGAGATGAGTTCGTGTATAACGAGGTTTGACTGTACACACTCCTATGGGATTGATACACACTCCTATGAGACCGATACACACTCCTATGGGACCGATACACACTCCTATGGGACTGATACACACTCCTATGGGACCGATACACACTCCTATGGGACCGATACACATTCCTATGGGACTTATACACATTCCTATAGGACCAATAGAACTTCCTAGGGGACCAATACAGATTCCTATGGGACCAATATAGATTCCTATGGGACCAATACAGATTCTTATGGGACCAATACAGATTCTTATGGGACCAATACAGATTCCCATGGGACCAATAGAAATTCCTATCGGACTGATAGAAATGTCTATTGGTCCGATACAAATCTCTATCGGAATTTTCGCTAGGGGAATGCAAAAGCATGCAAGCCGCTCGTCCTCTCCCTTTGTCATCTGCTGCATACTCTTCGTCGCCGGTCAGCGCGCGTGCCCCCCTGTGCACGCTGACCTAGCTTGAACGCTCCGCGTTAACGGCACGGTCATGGACACGCAGCTAATAATTTTGCAAGGAATCGTTGGCAAACTGCAAGTTGAGATGTATTTGTTAGTGCTAGTACGGAGAAACGTCTAGGCATTTGATCTTTTGTTAGGGTGCATATGTTCAAATAAATACTGCGCATTTCAGCACGTGTTATTCTATTACTCTTACATGCACTGAGGGAAAGCTTTCATAAAAATAAACTTTTTCTTTTAAAAGTTTTGTGTTAATACTACCAATCAGAAACCAATCAAGTAATGTAGTTGCAATATCAGAACGACGTAAGAAAGAATATGTGGAAATAAAATTTGGTAAAGTTTTTTGTACATTTTTTTTCGAAAATAACTTGGTGGTTAAAGGGTAAATAAGGTTTTGGTTGCCTGACCTGCCCACCCATAGGATACAAGATGTTTGGACTAAGTATTGGGATACTAGAGTATGAAATAAAAGCAAAACGTCAATCCGAGCCAACCTTTTCAGCGGCGCCAACCAGCTGGCGTGAACTCGGGTCCTTGCTCTTCTTCAGCTCGTTCTTCAGCATCTGCAGCTGGCGACTGATGGCACACAAGTCTGCGCTGTGAGGGGTTGAGGCACGCTGACGAAGCCGCTCCATCTCACTCTTACACCTACTCAGCTCCAGCTGCGATAGAAATGCAAAGAATATGGTGCGGATTAAACCCCAACATAGCAAATCCCACCAGAACAATAGCTCTGCTGAACTTCACTCTTCATGGGATGGAAGGGCTCTCAATTTTTCTTACAATGTGACCATCAATTCAGCTTTTGATTTGTATAATGAGATGTTCATATGTGCTTATGGTTTCTCGTCTTCGCTGTTTATTCTGTGGAAGACTCGTCATATTGAATTAGCATTTATTTCACCTCATAAAGAAATGGCCACTTATATGTATCTATTCTGTGCATAAAATCAGTGAAAAACTATAAAAAAAAGCATCCAAATATGGTAAAGTTCTAACGTACAACTATAATAAAAAAAATAAAAAAGGCTTATCAAGGAACCTTATAACATCAGGTTTAGCTTCAAAGTTTGAAAATCGCCCATGAAGAGGCATCTTTCAACATAAACCTCGTTTGTGAAATATGTCGTTGAACGTGCCCATAGAATTTTCGCTGAAAGATGAACAGCCAGACCTTCAAAAAAAAAAAACAAAAAAAAACTAGAATTGTGAGAAGTGATCACCTTTCCTTGCCTGCTTTAATCTATTGTGCTTTTTCTAGGGTATGTGCTTGCTAAGCTAGCTCAGCTTTTTCATGACCGCTATCGACATTATCATCCACCTGGCCTCGAACACCTCAAAGTCTTCACTACATTCCAAGGTACGATCATTGGCATGCTGCCAGTTCCGACCGTGTTTAAAAACTATGCATCGCAGAATGCTCAAACTCTGTGAGATTGTGATGCTGACGGTTGGGATAGAATGCAAAAGTTTGAGAACATGACGTTACTTGGATCAAAAGATAATTGAGGAAAACAAACTTTCTCTATGAGCCGACGTCCACCTAAACCTAATTTCGTAAAAGACGAAAAATCACATTGTGGGTGACTGTTGCTTCTATGTCAGTGAAACAAACTTTTCAACAAAAAATAAAAAAAAAATATTCTCTTTCTTGCTGACAAGTGTTTTCTCACGACCATTAACATTAACAACCCTATTATGTCTTTTGACGATATTGGGCTTACGTAGACGTCGGCTCGTAGCAAAATTTTGCTTTTCTCAATTATCTTTTAATTCAAGTCATGTCATGTTCTCAAACTTTCATGTTCTATCCCAACCGCTGGCTTCACATTCTCAAGGAGTTTGAGCCTTCTGGGATGCAGTTTATTTAACCGGGACGAAAAACATGGTTCTCTTTCTTCGGGAACTCCCTGTACTTTACTTCAAGTACATTGCACCCCGTGTACTTACTACTTTACTTGAACTACATGACCTCTTGTACTCTACTTCAGGTACTTTTTGGTTGTACTTTACCCAGCACTGGTATTGACCAAACTTAACAGTAAAAATTATATTTTTCTATTGGGAGATTGAATTTTTTGAGTCTATAGGATATATTTGAACTGAGGAAAATTTTACTGGCGGGTGTTTCTGAGCGTTTCTTCGGATTTATCTGAAAACATGGATCTCTATTTGTAATGTAGTATGTACTCATAATGTGCCTTGATCGGATTAGTGAAAAATAAATTAGGTATGAGAGACTCATATTTTATCAGAGTGTCGAACCGGAACCGAACCGAACCGAAAACCGGAACTGAACCGGTATTTTTTCCGGAACTGAACCCGTACCCGAACCGTTATATTGTTATCGCGATGAACCCGAAACGGAACTGAACCGGAAAAAAAATAACGGTTACCGGCTCATGTCAAAACGGTTCGGCCACGCGCTGTTGACAATGAATGTGCTATCAATGCCATTTGTTTTTTAAGTGCCGTCAACTGACACACACCTCGCTTACATAATTTTCTCCTTCACTCAGTCTTAGGAATATAAATGCTGCATCCATGAATCTTGACAAACGCTGCATCTATGAATCTTGACATAGGAATCAGTATTGCGCTGGTCACGGCTTGCACGGAAGAAAAAAAAATGAAAGGCTGTGCAAAAAAAAAAAAAAAAATCGCGTCACGGGATTTCATTTGCCTACAATCTCGTAAATCCTAAATGCTGCTGTGTGCTCATTTCATAACACGTTTCTAGAACGCGCGAGTTCTTGAAGCTTGCTTCCATCGGAATGAGAAAAGAAAAGGCTGTGGAGTTTGATAATAATGCATCCGGTTTCGTATAGGCACTTAGAAGCTAACATTATTGTGAGACAGCGAACTCTTCTATTTTAATATTTATCCTATTACGTCCTTCTGGCGTTGCGTTCGGTGAAGTGTTTTTCATATTCCGTATCTTGTTTAATGAAAACTTCTTTAACGGTCTAATTTGAGTTACCGAAGCCTAGTTCAGATAAAGAAAGCTGTATTTTCTCCCCACTGTTCCTTCAATTGCTTACACGCCGAGGTGGCGGGATAGTTAGCGAGTTCTACTTGTAAGTGGGTTTGTAAGGAGGTCGCGGATTTTACAGCTACTGCGTCGGACCCAATTAGATGAAGTCCGAATGCGTAAACGTCGGTGAGGTAACCTTTGAGTGCACATAAAGGAACCATTCCTGGTAGAAATCCCTGAGCCTTACACTACGATGTATCCCGTTTCGTATGTGCTGATTTCAGATGTTTTATTTGTAATTTATTTTGATGTTGCAATTTGTCATTTATAATTTCCGAACCGGTTCGCAAACCGGTTCAGCGCCCCGAACCGGTTCGCGAACCGGTTCGCGGATCGAATTAATCGAACTGGAACTGAACTGGAACAAAATAAATTTACCTGAACCTGAACCGTAACCGAACCCGTATTTTTTTCGGTTCGACACACTGTATTTTATACTTATTTTGTTTGCAAGAATATTTATTTAGAAACAAAATAATGACAGTTTTGGCGAGTTACAACTGAACCAAGGAAATTAAGAAAATTAGGAAAATTAATTGACTCCAAAAATACACTCTCATCATTTGGAGGAAAGAGAGGCCGAAAACATGGCACCCTATACTTGTATGAAGTACTCCTCACTTTTAAAAGCTTGACTTCAGCGTCCCCCGTTGGGTTCAGAATGAGTGGCTCCAGGTCAACCAGCTTCCTGCGGTCAGAAGCAAAGGAAAAACAGACAAGAAACAAAGGGAGTTCAAATGAAGATTCAATTCACTATTGTCAATGTCTTGGCAGAGACGCTTGTGTCACCACTGAGACAAACAAATAATCAGGAGTGAGGACTCAATCACACTGCTGTTACAAGTTTGAGGATACTATGTAAATATCGATAGAACTAAATCCAAAGTGACTTAAGCATGATTGCCATAAAAGCAATAGTGCATGAAATATCCGATACAAAAAGTCAGCCCTAAATATAAAACTCTTGGTAAATGAGGTGGGCACAACATGCATGCACATAAAGAGAGAACACAAGCCAAGTACTGTAAACGACTTTATTTCCGAGGGTATTAAATTTCCGAAACGGGGTGGTACATAATGGGTTTGTTACCGGAGAAAAACATATCTGTAGGATCTATTTTTCGCAATATTATTAAAGCTAAAAAATTCACAAAAAATTTGGTCCTTGCAAAATTGTCTTTTACAGTATATACTTAGTGTCATTTGTTTTCGGGTAAAACCAGATATTTACACCCCGAAAATGTTTTTTTTTTTAATCGAGTTAAACCTGACTTTTACTCGAATTTCGGAAATATATTCCCCCCTTTTTTAATTACTCTGGTCCGAATATATTTCTTATAAACCAAAAAGCTGCAGGAACATGCATGCTAGCTCCAGAGCTCGGAAAAGATGCTATATTTGATGACTTCATCGAACTCCAGTGACAAATCGAGCCTCAAAATGTAGTTTTTATGTCCTTTACGAATTATCTTTTGCCCTTCTCTTTCCAATTTCAAATAGTGTAAAAACAGAATAAGCAAGTTTGCTTTGGAGCAACAGATTCCAGTGAAATTGTTGTGCACTGTAAAAGCTGTGACGTTGAAAGAATGTTTTCTCAATTCAGATATGCCCATAAACCGGACAGGTCTAGCATTGAGACAGAGATGCCATGCGAGCAGATAGTTATGTAGGCAACAAAGTTTTATAAAAAAATCTAAAAGATAAGTGAGCTCTTATATCATGTTATAATGCTGTCTTGTGCACTTTAAAGGTGTGCAAAAACCAAGTTCTGGAACACATTTATTTGCTTCAACATGACGTAGGTAGCAGCAAAACCTCAGAAACATCAATATTTCACTGGAAAATGAAAAAAAAACATACCCCTATTTCAAACTGAATTCTCTGGTTCTCCATGGTTAATGATTATGAAGCTTCAATGGAATGTCGTGACGGCATCGGCCTCCAACGGCAGTGCCACCATAAGGTAAGTAGGCTCACTAGTACAGATTACCTAGGCCAGAACGTAATACCCATGGTTTGGTGACAACAGCCAAAGCACAGTTGGATACCTTGGATTCACTCCGCCAGTCAATCGCTTCCACTCATTCTTTGACGTCACCGACTTCAGGGGCTGATGAACTATCTTTTTCAACATGGTGCGCGCTGCTTTCAACGTCTTTCTCGCTGAGGGACACCAACCTATCGAACTGACCTGGGTTTACACCACCGAGCTGTGTTGGTATCCGCTTTCGTGCGCGGTAGTTTCTGTACGACGAAGTGAGAATTCAGCGATTGTCTCGCCGTCCAACTTAGTCGCTGTCGATGTGCTAAGTGCACCCGCGTGGACGATCGCATAAGCCACGTTGGACGAGACGGACGAGACCAACGAAAGCGGTGCCAATTCGTTTAGTGTTCGCCATCAAGACAAGTCGCGTTTAAAAATAGTGGCAATGCGAGCGTTTTTTCGTGGTAGTTTTTGCGTGACGATGCAAGAATTGTACAGTTGTGTTCTCCGAGTTCTGTGCCTACACTCAGAAAATCGCGTCCTGTCAAGACCAGCGCAAGCTTCCTATACGCCGATGCCTTCTCTTCGTTCATTTAGTGGTCGCCCTTGCGACAAGGAATGTCGCAAGATCGTCGTGGTGTACGTGTTTCTTAGCGGTGACATGACAATGCTGCGGTCACACCGCCAACGATGCGATATGCTGCATGAAGTACTGGAGTGATGCCATTGGCGTGCTGCCTCACCGGAGTCAACCTGTTTCTCTGCTCTAATAAACGAAGGATGCCAACTGGTTCTGTGCCTTCAAAGCGATATTTATTTATCCGTAAGGTTGATGCCCTCGCTGAGTCTGGTCGTTGTGATCAGTGGTGGTAAATCAGGTAAGCAGCAGTTGTCTTGTCCTACTAATGGCACACGCGATCCTGCCGTCACCTTAGACAACACCAGCATCTTGCCTCGTGCGAGGTAACAGAGGTACCTTAGCCGCCTCGCGGCAATGTCGTCCCGTTCAAAGAGCAGCGAGCTCATGCCCAAAACTGACGTTGCCAATGTTGCCATATCGGCAAGGCCGCGAAGCAGACAAGTAATACGTGTCGTCATAGCTTGCACGACTCCCCCCGCTCCGCACTCTCCCATTGATATGTTACAACCCTTGGGCATTCTGACTAAACAAGGTAGTAACGCATTGGCGCATCAGGTGTCAACGCTGTTAACTATGGTACGCTTGGCCATAGAGAGGTCGGTGACGTCGTAGGCATGTCGCGGGTGCGATGGATATCCCAAGATGCACCGCGCTCTTCGATGGCCAATTTCGAAGCGCTCGCCAGGATCAAACATTTAGAACGAAAAATACAGCCGTCCATTTGAAATACAAGCGTGCGATTGTCATTAGCAGATACAATTCATCATGTTTATCTTATTTCTGAACGCGAGATAAATTCATGTTTCGATTCAGTACCTCTTTAATAAACTTGGTCGCGAATAAAAAATATTCATATTACTTAAACCGATCAATACTCTAATATTAATTATACATGTTTACGTATATATACAAACTAAAAAACCCGAATTACGAAAAAATGATTGAAAACCCCGGTTTTTCCCCCGATTACAAACCTGAAACAAAGTGTCCTATTTTTACCCCCGATTTAAAAAAAAAAATATAAAACCCAAAAACAAAGAACCCTATATTTATTCCAAATATGCTAAATAGAAATAATTGGAACACAGTTGATTAATATGAACAATCAAAATACAATTTAAGACTATTCTAGCGGTAAGACCCGACACTGGGGTGAAAAAAGAAAAACACAATATGGAAGAAACAACAACAAAAAAGTCAGTTTCAAGCTTAGTTAAGACGTTCATTTTGTCTACGGCTTACATATTCCTTCCAAAGTCATCATTGATGCAAATAGAAGCAAACTTTTCTTTTTATAAGCTTACAAAGGAATTTTTTTTTTCCTCTGTAAAGCCACATTACTATTGGTTAGGATACCACAGGTGTATACTATAGAGGTGCACCGTTCACTAGTATGGCACAGTACGGCCTCGTTCAAGTCGAACTCCAAGAGACCATAAAAGTGATTCAATTTATGAAAGACACTAATATTCTTTTTTTTTAATTGCTTAAAGGGATGCTGAACCAAAGAATTTAGTGCCCATAATAAGTGGCGCACATTCTTTCCACGAGCGAGTAGCCGCCGGTGTGCGCGAGCACACGCAACAAAAATGATGTCAAAGACCTTCATTTGCGCTTAAAGGGATTGTCTGGTCAAATTTTGTATTCAAGAAAACAATTGAATATCATTGTTATTGCCTCGAGACGCATCGTACGTGCAATATCTGAATTTTATATGCCCCTCTGCATGAGTAATTGAATTTATGCTGCTCCAATCGCATTCTAGCGTAAACGCTGCTTTCGTTGGCAACATTGAAGTTCTGAAGTCACAAAACACAAAGCGAGCATTTTTGTCTGCCTCAGCGTGCTTCGTTTTTGTTGTTTTGCTCGACTTGTTTCGTGGTTGGGTGAGATTTTTGTTGCGCGGTTGGGTGCCACAACCATCGGGCAGCACATGCGAGCTAAGACATGACGTTCCACACTTTTCCGCGAGACGTGCAGTGACGAGCAAAATGGATCGTCGCCGTGCGTAGGGACTGGGTTCCCGTCAAGATTGAGATCCCGCTTATGCAGCAATTATCTCACAGAAGAGAGCTACGAGCTGAGCTCTAAGCGGACAGAAGGCTCGTAAGCTGAGGTGTGATGCTGTACCAACGATATTAAACTACGTCCATCCACTCCTCGCCCAAATCGGATCAATCAATTTGTTTATACAGCGAAACCAAAACCAACAGCTGGACCACCTGGAAACGATACCAGAAGTTGTATTTAGCACGAGTGCAGCCAAATTATGTTTGACCCGCTCGTGCAAAGAGCGTGGCTACGATTCACCAAATTCGTCCAAGTCAAGTGACGGTATGCATTTGAACGATTCGCCGGTTGCCTTCGACCCGCGGTCATCGCCTCTGAAGGAAAGACCCGCAGCCTCATCACTGATCTAGTGGATCGGCCGATATGTGCATTCAGATACCGCTTCGTGTACCTAGTTGCCGCTTCAGAGGCGAAATCTGCATCTGCTTTGCAAGCGCCCCTAATTCGATCGGTGGCCATCGCAGTTGTGTTTGCGCGAAACGGCATACGTTTGCTCGAAGCTTATGGCTGTTTTCGAGTAATATCCTGCTGAAAGGCATGACATTTTTTGCACACGCTTAGGAACTGCAATAAAAGAACCGTATTTCAGTAGGGTACAGCCCAGGACAGTGGTTCTCAACCATCGATGTTTCGCGGATCCCTTGTGGATCGGCGGAGATGATGGAGGACCCCGTTCGTGGTGAGAGGAGTGGAAAGGTATAATTAAATATAATTATGATTTAATAAATGGATACAACTAAGGGCTAGTGTGAAGTAGAGCTCTCTTATTGAAATTCACACGAAAAAACTCGCGCGAAAACTGAAACATTTCTTTTCGACCTAAAAAAAAACAATAAACAACTTTTGTTGCCGGGCTTGACTGGTGAGGCAGGGCTTCGCGAACCGGGCCTTCGCGGACCCCCTTAGAGAACCACTGGCCTAGGAGACTATATAATTCGAAACAAAATACAAGACATCCATCGACCAACGCTTGTTATCCCGACAAACTTTTGCGTTTTGTGACGTCACGCAGCAGCTACGGATGTCAGCCATTGACGCTGGCGGAATTCGGGGTGCAGTTTCGTACATACGCTCATGAAAGGTTTAGTTAATAACGGGAGATCATATATCAAAATAAAAATGTTGTTTGTCTACATGAAGGCTCCCTCGAACGTAACGAGCGCAAAAACTTAAGTACTTCCGGTTTCGACCGGACAATCCCTTTAAGAGGACAGGGAAATGCATGGGCGTCAGGCCAAAGGAGAATAAAGACAGGCTTTTCATCTCTACAAGTGAAAGCTACGTGTTTGTTAGTCCAATTAATTGCTTGCCTTTTACACCAGACACCACTGTGTAGATGAAAAACTTGTATTTATTCTCCTTTGGCCCGAAGCCCATACATTTCACTCTTATCTTAACCGCGAATGGAGGTCTTTGACGTCATTTTTGTTGCGTGCGCTCATGCACACCGGCAACTGCTGGCTCGTGAAAAAAATGTGCGCCACTTATTATGGGCACCAAATTCCTTGGTTCAATATCCCTTTAAATGTCTTATGATTTTTTCCATTGAAGAATTCTTTTCTTTTTTAGCAATATTTGCATTGTTAGACGTTATTTATGGGGGTAGTCCTGCTCTGGACACTGCCCGATGCTTACAAATCTAAGAACATTTCCTTGGCTCTCGCTGGTTGGAGAGATGATTGACGTGTGAAATGTTGGTCGTAAAATTGTATCTCCGTTCCGTAAGAGTATTTCAATCGACAATATTTTTATGTTTAAGAAACAAATAATCTAGATAAAATCATTACCGTTTTCACAAATATCCCAAGAATGCCCTTTCTACTTCGGTTGGCTGTTAGCATCCGTGGAGTGATCAACGAGCGCAGCTCATAGAGCTTGTTTACTTTTATGAGTGCGAGTCATTCTGCATTCACCAAGGTGTTTAGATGAAGATCTCGAACAACGCTGATATCAACCGACCTAGTGTGCAGCAAACAACCGTCGCAAGTATGCGCCTTCGGAAGCGTCGTGCGGGTGTTTGGGTTCGTAGCAGGACTGGCCTGAGCCTAGCGTCCCACGTCAACTATGTTTTGAAAGTAAACATCTTTGACAAAAATCTGTCTGGTTTGGGGAACAATTCGAAAAAAAAAAAAGAAAACTCAAACCAAAAGTTTAGAAACAGAGTTCCCAACGTTTCGGGGTCGACTTGACTCCTTCTTCAGGGGTGACTAAAAATGGAATGGGACCAGCGCAAGCTTCGACCTCTCCTTCCTCTTCTACTGAGGTGATGTCTTGTGAACGTGACGCAGGCCATGGACGTAAATAGATGGTAAGGCCCCAAGGGACTTGTTAATGTTCCCCGGTGTATTCTGGATATGCCACGACTCCAAGAACAGGCGTCTTCGAATATGTGGCTCCGTGTCTATCACGTGTGCGTTTCCGAAGTTGATCTGATGATCAAATACCTCACAATGTTCCGCGACGGCGCTACGCTCCCGATCGAAATTGCACACATCGTTCTGGTGCTGGCGCATGCGTTTGGGAAAAGACTTAGTTCCACCGATGTAGGTGGCGGGGCACTCCGCACACGGTATCCTATAGACCACTGGTCTATAGGATACCGTGTAGAGGAGCTGGCGAGCCATTAGGCTGGAGGCAATCGGGCGTTAGTTTGCTTATGCTCCCTTCATTTCAATCTTAAAGGCAAGTAGCTCTCAAGTTTTGCACTGCACCTAACCTACCAAAGCAAATTATTTTATGTCGCCCTTTAATTGTGCGTCATGATGCTTAACCACCTTGCTCGTGGATGCCAAGTGAAAAAAAGAACAAGAACAGTAAAGCTGGAAGGGCTGCACATTTATTTTGTTGATTTTTTTAGAGCTCTCGGCCGCTTATTACCGCACATCGATAGATGCCGACAGACACTTGAATTAGACCGTGGCTCGTGCATGATGGAACGCTAGAACACCACTTTCATGGTCGCGTCTTCTGAGGGTTGCAAATGTTTTTAGTTGGGGGCGGAATAGCAGACGGACGGAGGCAAAAACAGACGCCGAAGCGCAGCTTTTGTGTCCGAGTCTCACGGGCGTTGCAGACGACGATAGGCGGTGGTGAAATAATAGCAGACAATGCCAGTGGCTGCTCGCACGACTAGCAGGTAGTGCCAGACGCCAGACTAGACGCACCGGACGTCGCAAAGGTGACTCTAGGCTTCTTAGCGTGTTCAGCCCAGCAACCAAGCCAATCCAGTAGTAATGGTCGAGGCCACTGATTTGTGGGCAGTGCTTAGAGTGTGCCATGACGTCCACCTAAATTAAGTATAACGACGTAAATATTGCACAAATTGTTTTTTTATTTAGTGGAAAAATTATTAATGAAACATGTGTCTCATCTATGCCCTTTAAACAATTTTTTTTTTTTTAAATTGCAGTGTTTTTTAACAGTGTTCTACAATAAAATATCCTACTTGGCTTCCAATTTTTCCCAATCCGTGCAACCTCTCTAGACAGAAATGATCGGAAATGGCATGCAAATCTAAACTCAGTATGCAATTAACAGAGGGTCGAAAGGAATACAGTCTAAGCTCATTATAACAGACCTGGTTACAACAGACATTTGTATATAACATACTAATTTGTGAAGTTCAGTTGGTTTTCCTCTATGCACTATTGACTTAACCTCATATCTGCATACAACATACTCTTTTCACAACAGACCAAAATCTTGGTCAAAATCAAGGCCTGTTATTACAAGCTTAGACTGTAAAGAGCAGCCCATATCGTAACGGGTAAGAGACAATCTCGTTCAACACATCAGAACCTTTTGACTGTCGCCAGTGCTCGCTCCATGTCTGCTTTGTCCAGCGTCATCCTCTCGACCATCGCGCGCATGTCGTCTCGCTCTCTGGTCAGCTGACCAAGCTCCTTCTCCTGAAATGTTGCAATTTAGATGAACCAAGAGTTGATATTCACCACAATAAATATTTTTTTTACAGCGGAGCTGTTAAGGGCTAGTTTCCCCAGGACCATGTTCGCCAGCAAACAAATGATGACACAAACCTCTGCGCAGCTACCACCGTCTATGAGTGACGGCGGAAACCAGACAACCGGCTTGACGGTTGTGTGGTTGCCACCGTCACTCATAGATGGCGGCAACCTTTCCAGCCTTTCCACTCCGGCTTGCCGACTTGCGACCGGCCATTACTTCATTCCTAACATAGTACAGCTTCGCTGGTCTTCCTTCTTCACCAGAAAGGAAAGGCCGAAAGTTCTCTTTCTTTTGTAAATCAATAAAAAAAAAACCAAAAAGTTTGGTTTAATTGGTTAATTGAAGTATGTCTAAAGAACCACTCAGGAGGGCCTCTCGAGACTCTCCAGGTCAAGTTACTGTTCAACTTGTATGCTTCGTTTAAGCCTATACAGTCAAATCTCGTTAATTCGAACTTGCGGATAATTAAAACTAACATGCAGGTCCAATCCTATGCGTTTCTATAAGAGGAAACCCCGGTAATTGAAACTTTGCTTTATTCAAAGAAATTTTTGGTCTCCCTCAGGTTTGTATTAACGAGAACTAACTGTAATTACCCTAAATTTCTGAGGGATGCCCCACCCTCGAAAGATAGCCCACCCCTATTTTTGGCTTGATTTGCTATATTTTTTTTAGACACCGAAAGATGGCCCACTCCTAGTAATAGTAGTGTTGGGATCAATAATGACCTCAGCATAAATGCGGCTATGCTTTGTTTCAGCTTAGGTCCAGACGCAGCCGATGCTACAAGCACGAGCATATGGCCCTGAACAGCGCTTCCATTGCACGAGCGCGCGTGCTTGGCAGGAACGCTGAAAGCCCGGAGCTCGCGCTTGTAGCATCGGCTGTGTCTGAACTTAAGCTGAAAAGAAGTACAGTTGAACCTCAATTTAACGAAACCTGATTTTACGAATTTCCCGATTTAACGAACAAATTCGGATTCCCCGCGCAGCCTATCCTGAAGAATGTCTTTCTCGACTTTACGAAGTTCTTGATTTAACGAAATAATTAGGGGTTCCCGGTGACTTCGCTAAATCGAGGTTCAACTGTATAGTTAGCTATGGCGGGATGCAAGCAAACGTTGCTGACTGGGAAGTATAGTCATTGTTGCTCCGTTGTCCCTCGCCACCATAACAAGCTTGGAAGGGGCACGACCTAAAAGTAACAATTTTTTAAAACTTTACCGATTGTACACTGAAAGTGAGCCCACTCCTAATTTTCATTTGATTTGCTCTTGAAGTTGGATGGGCTATCTCTCGGGATTTTACGGTAGGAGTTTGTAAATTCGAGCTCATTTTTCGTCAAATTGAGTGTTTTTCGGAGTTCATTTTTCGCCAAAAATTCTGAGTTTATCAGACTTTATTTTTCTTTGATACCCGATTCTCTGAAAGTCATAGTTTAATTTTACAGTGTTTACTATTAAAAATAAATAAATAAATAAATAAATAAATAAATAAATAAACAAATAAATAGGGTATTCTCTGGGTGTTCACTTAAGCTAGATAAAAAAATAAGACACACTTCTGACAATTAATATTTCTTTAGCTGGATTTGGCGTTGCTGCCATTGCCATCGGCAATATACTACTTTGTCCCACGGCAAAAGTTGCAAACAAGCGTTGCTTCAATAAACCTCTATACCTTAAAATCAATAAACTCCCAGAGGCAGTCGCTGGGAAGCTCATACATATTCATCCCATCCTATTCCATCCTACCCTGCAACTGCGCGAAGTGGTGTGGTAAAGGATGCAATAGAGAAGCTTCAACTTCCCGTCTTCATCCATTTCATGCATTCTCTATAGTTCATAGCTTTTACTGTTCCAAAGATGCAGCCTTTCCATCCTCTTTAAACACAAATAGTATGGCACAAATTGGAAACCAAAACAGTGGCTTTTGTTGTAACCCGAAAGCACAATGACCTGTAGTCATGAATGAACCTTGAAGAGACAATGGTCCGAGGTTTGAAAGATAACTGCGGTGGCATTTTGCGAGGACCACTGACCCTGTGTGCCGATCAAACTTAATTGTAAAATACTGTCTCTTCTTTCCTTCTTTTCAGCGGGGGGGAGGGCATTGGCACAAAAATATTTTGAGTTTATCAGATAAATCCGAATTGACTAAAATTTTACTGGCGGGTGTTTTTCCAATACACAACTCTACTTCTAATGGACATAGTGGAATGTGAACGTATCATGTGACTACACACTCCATATGTTGCAGCATTCTTTCCGAAGGTCTTATGACACTCACATTATACCATCAGAATGGCTTTGATGGCTCGTGGAGTCGTCTATGGTCCATCGTAAGATGAAACGAAGAATATAGATATGTTTACGATATTTACACTACGATACTCTCAAAAATTTGTTTTCCTTCAGTGATGCACTATTTAAACTTTCTGGCATGCAGCTCTACCTACGACGAGCAGAGGATCATTTGAGTTGTTTCTGTAACCTGTGTGTGTGTTTTTGTTTGTCGACCACCAAATGAATCTTCAATGACAACAATGGCAAACTGCCCGTTGCCCTCATATAATTGTGCATGCCAGGAATAGAGCCCCCAATATTCACGTCTGATTTCAATATCTAAGTTTGAGAACATGAGCGAATCGTCGATGCTCACCTTCTGATTTAAAACGAGTGAGATGCTTTGTAACGATTCTTCGTACTTCGCTACCTTACGACTGAAAGCCCTGGAAAGACATCCAAGCAACGAACCATGAGAAAACAAGCACTAAGGCAGAAAATAAAACAGAAAAGTAGCTCCATTAAAAGGTTAAATGTAAGATTTCGGTAGTTGAACCCAGCTATAACGAAGTTGAAGGGGAATCTGAAATACTATGCTTATTATATTCGTATTTCGGTAAATCTGGACTTCTAAAAAAAAAAAAAAAGAGGATTTATGGAAACAGCTCATTACAATCATGCAGCACATAGCACAGGCTCGCATAATAGCCGTTAAGCGACTTGCACATACACACGCGTCTTAATGAGTTTGGTGGTTGGTATCTCTTTAAACACATTTCTGTGTCGAGGGAAATCGGGGAGAAAGGAACCCCCATGGAGATGTACGCGTTCCTGCTGGTGCGAGTGGAGAGCCCCTTTGTGTAAACACCCTAAAAATGAGGAACGTTTCACACCAAACTTCTTCCAAACCAAGGAAGCGGTCGATGTGGAACAGTAAACAAAGTGCTACACACTACCAGAATGTTCGCCGAGGCACTGATTGCTACGGCCCTAGGCTGAATGCTCGCACACTGCTCACATCTGATGCACGAGCCACATTCAACTATCATCATCAAGCGGTAATCCGAGCGACTATGGTCACATTGCAATCTCTGCGATTACATCGTCAAGCTCTGCGACTACATCGTCAAGCTCTGCGACTACATCGTCAAGCTTTGCAAAGGAGTGACCGAACAAAACAGCCCACTTTTATCTCAAAATTACGCCGCAACAAAAAAGCTTCCGGGTCAGTGGTGTTGCTGTAACTATAGTTGGGTGTCGCATGCTTCGACACGTCAGCGTAAAGTGAAAAACAATACAACCCTACATTGTTGTATCGTTGCCTGTGGTTGCCAATGACTCACTTTGAACTTTTCTTCAGGGCGTCCCTGTCTTCACGGTGCTTTCTCTGCATCTCTTCAATGGTGTCTAAGCAACGGTCCTGGCGCTCTTTCTCCTGCTCTTCTCTTTTCTGTTGCAAAAGTGAAGCTCGTGTTAGCATGCAATCTTTTTCCCGGATGCATAAAGCAAACCATGTTTGGATAACCGACATACAGAAATTGTGTTTGTAAGTGCCATCAAGCTCCTTTTTCTTTACGAAATGACGTTCCGAATTCCCCGACTACTCAAAGATCACTTGCAGTCAGACTATGCCTTTACAATCCAGCAAAAACTCAACATGTGCGGGATAAGCTAATAAAGGATGTCCAACAACGAGTGAAGTTCGAGACATCAACGAATGCCAATTAGCAATTTTCAAGCAGCTAGATACCGCACATTATCATCGCGAAAGAAATTTGAGACATTTAATGTACCTTGTAGTAAGCCAAATCCCGTTCGAGTTGTACCATGTGCTCCTCCTTGTCTTTAAGGCTTTGATGTAGGTGCTGTAAAAAAATTAATTGGAGACCTTTATTGTAATGAATAACAAACAGCTTTTAAACTGCAATTCCAATCACCCTGGAAGTCAACAATTTTCTTACATTAAGATTCACCCTGAAGCAAAGATTGAATAGAGTACAATTTAAAAATAATAGTATTTGGAAATTTTAATATTTTCACGACACCAACCTTTTTTTTCCCTCGAGAGGGGATAGAACCACTACCACAATCATTCCTCTCACAACTGCTTGTTGTACACGCGTTTACATGTCCCAGTGTTGCTGGCACACTGTGCTATGGTTCGCTGGCTGTTTATTCATTAATTTAGCGAAAAAGACTGCATCACCGAAACATTATAGCAGGTACAGCTAAAAAGGAAACAATATCTACCAAATCATTCAAAATACTGTTGAAAATGCAGTAAAAACTGTCAGAAAAAGGGGGGATCGGTGGCCGAGTGGGCGAGTGTACACCAGCTCAAAGCACATGGAGCCAAAGCTCATGCTGTGGAGCCAAAGCTCACGCTGTGGAGCCAAAGCTCATGCTGCCAAACCCAGGAATCCTATGCTCAATCCCGAACCCTGCCCATTTCGATCTGGATGAGCATCGCAAAGGCGTGCAACCATGTATCACCCCAGGCTGGAAGTTGTACTGCACTGGCTAAATTTCTCATCTACAGCTGAGACACCAGACAGACTTATTGGGGCTAAGTTCTGGCTGTACATACGCATAACATTTAGTATTTACTATAAAGTTCCGAAAGAACGCCCAGTCAAAATGAAGAGAAAAATTGTGAAAAAATTGTGAAAAAAAAAAGAAAAAAGCCGTTTACAACTCCATGTAATGCCGAATTAGAGCGCAGCTCTTGAGGAGGAGGAGCCAAGGCCACAAAGGTCACGTGACCTTGGTGGGGTCACGTGACCCCTCCCCAACATCACGTGGGGGTCACGTGACCGGGGTCCCGTAAACTGGGGGTGTCACGTGATCTCAGAAGGTCACGTGACCCCCCAGAGAAATTTTTCCGCTAGATATAGCGGGAAAATATTTCCGCTAAATCTAGCGGGGAATTTTCCGCTAGATTTAGCGGGAAATTTTTTCGCTAGATTTAGCGGGGAAATTTTTTCGCTAAATTTAGCGGGGAAAATTTTCTGCTAGCTTTAGCGGGGAAACTTTTCCGCTCGATTTAGTGGAGAAATTTTTCCGCTAGATTTAGCGGGGAAATTTTTCCGCTCGATTTAGCGGGGAAATTTTTTCCCTAAATTTAGCGGGGGAAGTTTATCCGCTAGATTTAGCAGGGAAACTTTTCCGATCGATTTAGCGGGGAAATTTGTCCGCTCAATTTAGCGGGGAAATTTTTCCGCTATATTTAGGGTGGAAATTTTTCCGCTAGATTTAGCGGGGAAATTTTTCCGCTCGATTTAGCGGGGAAATTTTTTCGCTAAATTTAGCGGGGAAGTTTATCCGCTAGATTTAGCAGGGAAACTTTTCCGCTCGATTTAGCGGGGAAATTTGTCCGCTCAATTTAGCGGGGGAATTTTTTCCGCTATATTTAGGGTGGAAATTTTTCCGCTAGATTTAGCGGGGAAATTTTTTCCGCTAGATTTAGCGGGGAAATTTTTTACGCTAGATTTAGCCAGAAATTTTTCTGTTAGATTTAGCGGGGAAATTTCTCCGCTAGATTTAGCAGGGAAAGTTTTCTGTTAGATTTAGCGGGGGAATTGTTCCGCTAGGTTTAGCGGGGAAATTTTTCCGCTAGATTTAGGGAGGAAATTTTTTCCGCTAGATTTAGCGGGGAAATTTTTTCTGCTAGATTTAGCGGGGAAATTTCTCCACTAGATTTAGCAGGGAAAGTTTTCTGTTAGATTTAGCGGGGGAATTTTTCCGCTAGGTTTAGCGGGGAAATTTTTCCACTAGATTTAGCGAGGAAATTTTTTCCGCTAGATTTAGCGGGGAAATTTTTTCTGCTAGATTTAGCGGGGAAATTTTTCCACTAGATTTAGCAGGAAATTTTTCCGCTACATTTAGCGGGGAAATTTTTCCGCTCGATTTAGCGGGGAAATTTGTCCGCTCGATTTATCGGGGAAATTTTTTCCGCTATATTTAGCGTGGAAATTTTTCCGCTAGATTTAGCGGGAAATTTTTCCGCTAGATTTAGCGGGGAAATTTTTCCACTCGATTGAGCGGGGAAATTTTTTCGCTAAATTTAGGGGGGAAGTTTATCTGCTAGATTTAGCAGGGAAACTTTTCCGCTCGATTTAGCGGGGAAATTTTTTCCGCTATATTTAGGGTGGAAATTTTTCCGCTAGATTTAGCGGGAAATTTTTCCGCTAGATTTAGTGGGGAAATTTTTCCGCTCGATTTAGCGGGGAAATTTTTTCCGCTAGATTTAGCGGGGAAATTTTTTACGCTAGATTTAGCCAGAAATCTTTCTGTTAGATTTAGCGGGGAAATTTCTCCGCTAGATTTAGCAGGGAAAGTTTTCTGTTAGATTTAGCGGGGGAATTTTTCCGCTAGGTTTAGCGGGGAAATTTTTCCGCTAGATTTTGCGAGGAAATTTTTTCCGCTAGATTTAGCGGGTAAATTTTTTCTGCTAGATTTAGCGGGGAAATTTTTCCGCTAGATTTAGCAGGAAATTTTTCCGCTACATTTAGCGGGGAAATTTTTCCGCTCGATTTAGCGGGGAAATTTTTTCGATAAATTTAGCGGGGAAATTTATCCGCTAGATTTAGCAGGGAAACTTTTCCGCTCGATTTAGCGGGGAAATGTGTCCGCTCGATTTAGCGGGGAAATTTTTTCCGCTAGACTTAGCGGGGAAATTTTTCCACTAGATTTAGCGGGAAATTTTTCCGCTAGATTTAGCGGGGAAATTGTTCCGCTCGATGTAGCAGGGAAATTTTTTCACTAGATTTAGCGGGGAAATTTTTTCCGCTAGATTTAGCGGGGAAATATTTTACGCTAGATTTAGCGGGGAAATTTTTCCGCTAGATTTAGCGGGATATTTTTCCGCTAGATTTAGGGGGGAAATTTCTCCGCTAGATTTAGCGGGGAAATTTCTCCGCTAGATTTAGCAGGGAAATTTTTCCGTTAGATTTAGCGGGGGAATTTTTCCGCTAGATTTAGCAGGGAAATTTTTCCGCTAGATTTCGCGAGGCAATTTTTTCCGCTAGATCTAGCAGGGAAATTTTTTCCGCTAGATTTATCGGGGAAATTTTTTCCGCTAGATTTAGCGGGGAAATTTTTTATGCTAGATTTAGCCAGAAATTTTTCTGTTAGATTTAGCGGGAAAATTTCTCCGCTAGATTTAGCAGGGAAATTTTTCTGTTAGATTTAGCGGGGGAATTTTTCCGCTAGGTTTAGCGGGGAGATTTTTCCGCTAGATCTAGCGAGGACATTTTTTCCGCTAGATTTAGCGGGGAAATTTTTTCTGCTAGATTTAGCGGGGAAATTTTTCCGCTAGATTTAGCAGGAAATTTTTCCGCTACATTTAGCGGGGAAATTTTTCCGCTCGATTTAGCGGGGACATTTTTTCGCTAAATTTAGCGGAGAAATTTATCCGCTAGATTTAGCAGGGAAACTTTTCCGCTCGATTTAGCGGGGAAATGTGTCTGCTCGATTTAGCGGGGAAATTTTTTCCGCTAGATTTAGCGGGGAAATTTTTCCACTAGATTTAGCGGGAAAATTTTCCGCTAGATTTAGCGGGGAAATTTTTCCGCTCGATGTAGCAGGGAAATTTTTTCACTAGATTTAGCGGGGAAATTTTTTCCGCTAGATTTAGCGGGGAAATATTTTACGCTAGATTTAGCGGGGAAATTTTTCCGCTAGATTTAGCGGGAAATTTTTCCGCTAGATTTAGGGGGAAATTTCTCCGCTAGATTTAGCGGGAAAATTTCTCCGCTAGATTTAGCAGGGAAATTTTTCCGTTAAATTTAGCGGGGGAATTTTTCCGCTAGATTTAGCGGGGAAATTTTTCCGCTAGATTGAGCGAGGCAATTTTTTCCGCTAGATCTAGCGGGGAAATTTTTTCCGCTAGATTTATCGGGGAAATTTTTTCCGCTACATTTAGCGGGGAAATTTTTCCGCTAGATTTAGCGAGGCAATTTTTTCCGCTAGATCTAGCGGGGAAATTTTTTCCGCTAGATTTATCGGGGAAATTTTTTCCGCTAGATTTAGCGGGGAAATTTTTCCGCTAGATTTAGCACGGAAATTTTTCCACTAGATTTAGCGGAGAAATTTTTCCGCTAGATTTAGCGGGGAAATTTTTGTGCTAGATTTAGCGGGGAAATTTTTCCGCTACATTTAGCGGGGAAATTTTTCTGCTAGATTTAGCGGGGAAATTTTTGCGCTACATTTAGCGGGGAAATTTTTCCACTAGATTTAGCGGGAAAATTTTTCCGCTAGATTTAGCGGGAACATTTTTCCGCTAGATTTAGCGGGGAAATTTTTCCGCTACATTTAGCGGGGAAATTTTTCTGCTAGATTTAGCGGGGAAATTTTTCCGCTACATTTAGCGGGGAAATTTTTCTGCTAGATTTAGCGGGGAAATTTACCCATAATGCACTGCGCGGTTACGCCGACGGCGACGCCGCTCAAGCCGGAAACGGGCGCCTAAGAGCTGCGCTCTAAAACATGGGGTGGGCTATCTTTGGGGATGCCACAGCAAAACTTTATAAAAATTAATGATAAACAACCCGGTACCGGCTACACACCCCGTGATGCAGCAACTGATACGTAGGTCACGGACACTGATATTTTAGGTTTCACGATGCAATAAACAATCGGGAATTCGCTACGATCTTCTGTGTCACGGGAGAGCATACCAAAGGTTGCGGACACAACAGATTCGCCTTTCACGGTGCGGAAACCGCAGAAACCCTCTGAGAACTCGCATCTCCCGGGAATGAATACTGGAAATTGCGGATGCAGCAGATACAAGTTTTAAGTTTTATGATGCAATAAACACGCGAGAACCCGCTGCAAACTTGCCTGTCACAGGAACCGATATCGCATGCACAGATTGCAGACGAAAACGCGGGAATCCGCTACAAACTCATATGTTACGGAAACAAACACTGCAGATCGCAAATGTAGTGGAATCGTATTTCACGATGCAATATACATGCGAGACCAACTCGCATGGAATCGAGATTGCACGTGCAGATCACAGACAAAAACACGGGAATCCGCTACAAACTTTATGTTGTGGGAACTAATATCGCAGATTGCGAACGCAGAGGATTCGCACTTCACGGTGCAACATACATGCGGGAACAACTCGCGTGCTACAGGAGCCGATATCGCGCGTGCAGATCGCAGACGGAAACGCGGGAGTCTGCTATGAATTCGCTTGTCAGACGTACCAATACAGCAAATTGCGCGGTTGATGCGATCCCGTCGGCCATCAAGTGTAGTGATTTCCCTATAAACACCCCCTAGGTGTACCCTTCCCCACCCCCCCGTTTTTCTGAAGGCACCCTCCTAATTTGCAACGACTCCTCTATTCTCAATGCCCTCCCCCGCCCCCGCCCCCAAAAACATTTAGACACCCCGCCACCCCCCCCCCCCCCTTCCCTAATTTCAATTCATGGGGAAACCTCTGATCATGTGACGTCCGATGGGAATCAGAGGGTGGGCGATGTTTCGGAATTTTTATGTTATAGATATTTAGTCAGAAAAAAGGGATGGGCAATCTTTTGAAGGCAGGCATTCTCTCTGAATTTTACAGCAAGTAAAATAAATAAAAAAATAAACACACATAAAATACCTTCAACCTATTTCAAACTATTTCTACACAAAGCACACCTCACTTGCTGGGGCCCCAATTACGGACAGTATTTGTTCCAGAATTTCTAGAAAAATAGAGCTTTCTCAGAAAGCAGAACATGCAAAAAAACACCTGCCACTATTAAAATCTAAACTTTAGGTAAGAATTAAATAAAATAAAGACATAATATTCAAAATGAATTTGGCACTGGCGACTTCTGTATACAAGTAATTCTTGGTGGAAGAAATGACTGGTATAAATTTAAACCTGGCTAATACAGTGATGTCTCATTAATATGAACCGCATTAATATGAATACCCCATTGTATAGACACCATTTTCGAGGACGAACTAGGTGAATATACATACATTTTGTCTTCTTATTATAGACAACTCGTGTTATGGACAATTTTGGGGGGAAATGTCGGTGTCCATATTAACAAGACATGACTGTATCAGAGGCACGGCCAGGATCTGTTTCCAAAGGGGGAGGGGTGGAAGTGCTGGCTGGGATTCCTCATTTGTTATCCATAGAAGGGAGCGTATAAAATGTCTCTCGAGAACAAACAAGTTTTCGAATGCTGCTTCGCCTCAACACAAACTTTTAATGAAGATTGAGTACCTAGAAACCCAGGGTTTCCCAGAACACACTCACAAGTTACAGCAAAAATTCTGTCAACCGTCCCTGCCTCCAAATAAAGTGTTTCTCTAGTTCAAGCACTACTTTGGCAGATCTGAGCCACCGGTCAATATATAACTATGAGCCAAACGTGTCCTACTACTTTGTTCATTATTGTCTACAAGGCCGGTAGACTTCATAACTGCTTTATCGCATTAATATTGGGACAGAGGGTAGTTCCTCGGCTTCCACTCGAGGCAGATAAGGGTTTTTCAAAATTGAGAACTTCGAGTTCTGATCTAAGCTATGGATTAAAGAAATATGAAATCCCCTTTCCTTCCAATAACGTGGCTCGAGATGCCGCCAAACTGCCAAAGAAAGTGCAGGTGGCACGCAAACTGCCGTTCGGAGGCTGGAAACAGACATCAGTAACATTGGATTGGATTTGATTTTGATGACAGGGTGAGTGGCGAGGGAGGAGGTGTCATGCATATGCATTTTATAAGGTCAGCTGCATTTTAGCAGAGGGGGGGGTATTGAAGACAATCAGTATTATCTGCAATACCTCAGAAGCTTGTTACAGCCACAACCTTGTCAACCTCGTCCCTTGAATGCAAACGGAGGACTAAATTATCCCCCTTTAACACATGAGAAAGAGCCTTCCAGCACACGAATGTTGCACAATAACTAAGACCAGAGGCAGATCGTAGGAACTTACCCTGACCAAGTCTTCATGCGAGGATGTCAGTCGGTCCTCCTCCATTCTGGACAGCACCTTCACCAGCTGCTCCCAGATGCGGGGAACGGTGCCCGAGGCAAAGTTCTACGGGAACACAAAGGCAAAAACGGTACAACCGAGAGCGCCATTTTTTTTTTAGATTCGTTAACCGCGCTGCTTTGTGCTTTCAGAAAAGGAAGTGCGCTCTGGTGACCTGAAAGTATGTCCAAGAGTGCCAATTTGACAATGTTTGCCAAGGTTTCTGCAAACAAAAAAAAACAAAAAAACGTGAAGAAACCCACTATGTGGTAGCTGAGAAGTTAGAGCAAGACTATAAATACTAGGGGTTCATGATAAAAAGTGATAATGCATTAAAGCTTCACATTTAGTCAGCTCAAGGGGATTTAAAAGAACTGTTTACACTCAACTGATATGTCTTTGTAGAGTGAAACTATAAAGTAATACAAATTTCCAGAGGAAATTTTTTCTTTTTACTTTGTAATTTTTTAACTTTGCTGAATGCCGATTCTGTCAAGTATGTTCCCAATGCGCACAACTCTAATAAAACACCAAGGAACATAGCTTGATAGTACCGTCTTAAGGAGGGGTGGTATTAACTTGTCTCTAATGATTGAAGCTAAAGCTTAATAAACCAAGAATTTTCTCAGTAAAACTCAGCAAGTATAGCTAGTGGCATCACTTTTTTGCTAGTACATTTCACAATGATGCCTTTGTAACATGGGAAATAGAAGGACAAATAGACAGTCAGTAGTAACAGAAACACTTTATGTGGTCTTGGTTTATCAGACGAATGACTAGTTCAAATATCTAGAAACAAAAATCCAAAATAATAAAGGAAAGTGTGCAAACTCCTAACGCGTGCATTCAGAAGTAGATACCACCACCAAATGCAGACAAACTTTACAGCGAACCCAGAAATGATCTGGCACCCTTATGAAGATGTTTCTTACATGCTATAACAAAGTAACCTGGCTGACATCCTTTCAATAAAAGTTTACGAAAGCGGAATAGGCACTCACATTTAAATTTGGTGAGACTAGTGGTTCAAGTTGATAATGATAAATTACAAGGTAGCAAAAAACACCCTCCAGCTTGATGCAACTGCTGATAGAAAACTTTACTACACAGCCGGTAACAAGTCAACAATACAGAGGCAATTAAATGTCCCTCAAAAGGATTTATATCATTCTGCCAGCCCCTCCCTCCCACTTGATCTCATGAAGTCACAGCCTTACGAACACTTTTTTAAATATGGTGGCACGCACTGGTAGTGATGAGCGACATTAAGAGAACCAAACTTCTCACTGTTCTTTCCCATTTTGGTTTATGTCGCAAAGTTGTGCAGGTATCTTCATCAGTTTGTGGTAATATCTGTGCCTTGGTGCGAGAATTCTTTCAAGCCGCCACCGAAGTATTCAGTGTGCATGCCTGTTGAACCCATTAGGCTTAGCTGGCACCGAAGAGCTTTAACCGACACTGTCTGCTACTCTTTGTTTACTTTCTGTCAGTTCGAGCCTCGAGCTTAATTGTGGCAGTGTTGGCTTTTCTTTGCAGTAGTCTGTGTGGGGAAACATAAAAACGCTAAGGCCATCACCATCAAAAAAGTATGCTGCGTGAGATCTACTCGAGTGACACAGCCATCAGTAAGCTGCTCAATGGACTACTTCCTATAGAGCTAATAAATGAGGGCTGGCTACTGAAATGATGCCTCCAGATCCACATTTACAGATCTGTGAAACAGGGCACCAAGTCTTGTCTTCGTGATCGGTAATATGACAAGCCGGGTGAGCAATGATTGCCTCGTTCCACCAAACAAAGTGGTGTCCTGCCGTCACCCCCGTCCCGTCGAGGTAGAACATCTTACAGCCCTCTTCTCCGTGTTGTGCAAAGTAAAGGAGGTACCCTTATCATACTCCACTCACCCCTGAGCTGACAGTGCAGTAGAAGCTACGTGCACCCATCATACATCTTTCTTTCACCGTGTGACCATAATTCCGCCCATATCCACACGCACAAAGCGGGGTCAGGTGACGATTGAAAGGCAGCCGATTGGTCTAGTGAGCCCGTAGCTCCCACCGCACAATCAGCTTAGAGGTGAATGGAGTGTAAATGTGAGGGATATCATCCTGCTTGATCAGCAGAGAGCTTTGCTCCCACACGATGCCAATGTCGTGGAGCAGACGACGCACAATTTTTTCGACAGCGGAGTGACTCGGAGCAGATGCATAATACCTGTGCCTGGAGCTTCTCCTGAATTCTGTACTCGTCACTGCTGTGATCTCCCCAGGTAAAAGATCGGCTGATGCCAAACCACATCTCGAAACCAACCTCCCTTCTCCCCCGAACAAGAAATAGCTCAATGTTTCATGTCGGACTTTGTGTGAAGTGCCACGACAACCCCGCAGGGTTCCCACAAGTTCCTCACCAGTGCTGAATCATCGCCGTTGTCTCTAATGGCTGAGATCACGCCACGCAGCTCTGCTGCCTTCTCCTTTAGGAAACTCGTGCGATGCTGAACATCTCTGTGATGCTTCCTAAACGAGAAGAACAAAACGGACCTCATGCAACTTCATTTCCAGCCAAAGGAACAGAACTAAGAACACAGTGGATAGGGTAAAACAACCAGGAGAATGTCTAAAAAAAGGTATTACTTGTCAAAAAGATTCACGAATACCTCCTCAAAATTCACGAAAATTTATGGGAAGCCTGTAGACATTTATTTTGAATGGATTATTATTTTAGTTTCTTACTGAGCTCACTTTCTAAACAAAGTGTGTGCTCTAGAAAGAAGAGATTGGCAGCAAGTTACTACTATGACCTACATTAACTGTGTACTTTTCGAGTAATAATTGCAGCTAAATGTTCGAAGCAGTCTAATGCAAAGGAGGATATTGTATCTAATATCCCGCACAGGATATGGAGAGCTATTATGCACGATTTACGGAGAGAGACCTGAGAATGAAAAAGAGGGAATAAATTACGCCAGTACTCAAAACTGTAACTTATGCGGAATTACTTGGCAAAGACGTTTACAACCTTTGAATCTCGGCGTGATAGGCCTGTTTCTCTCGGCAAGGGAGTGTGAGTGCGTCCGTAGGACGCAACCATGTAATTCCGGCATAAGCCGGTGCTTCGGTATTCCAAAGACACAACCATAAATGCAGCACCGCACCATCTAGTCATGTATGAGTCACAGTCATATAAAAGTGTCTGTCAGCATCTGTCCTAGCATGCTATGAAAGCATGTGAAGCAAAAACCAAAACGAAATCAATGAAATAAAAGTACAATGCTCGACTTCAACATCACATCAACACTATAATAATGAAGTTTTTCAACTTCCTTTGTCCCAGGTGTTTTTTTTGTTTTTTTTCGTGGCATTTGGAAGCACTGTTTAAGAGCTGAATAATGCATAACCAAAATGCAACCTTAGAATGTTTGATTTTTCTTGCCAGGGGGCTGCTCGAAACTTGAGAGCGACATGTCTATTGCATTCTTCCGTCTGTCCTGTGCCTCATCATTTTATGATCCCTTTGAGCTTCCTGCTCATCTCTTGAGATGCAAAGAAGAAATTTAGGTGCCCAGGCATAGCTCATAAAGGGGTTCTCCTCAGCGTAGAGCCGAGAGGGTGCTACTTCAATTGCTACCAGACTAAGCAAATTTTAAGCTGAGAGCAGAAATGAGATGCTTGTGCAAATCTATGCACAAGACACACTGCCAAAAGGTAGAGAAAGGAGGAGGGTGGGTGACGTTTCATCCACTTACGCTTCAAGGGCGGTCTCTGTGCTGTTCTTGGCTATGGACAGCGTGGCCTTTAGTGCATCAAGGTGGGCAAGCATGGCACTCAGAGACTGCCTAGACTGTTTCATCATGAGCTCCTTCTCTTGCAGGGACTTCTCAAAGTCCTGGCACTCCACTTCAAAATGGGCAACCACGTGGGTCAGCTTCTCTACTTCCAACTGAAAAAAAAAAAAATGAAAAGAATATGCGAGACTTGTGAGAAATTAGCTTCTCAAAAGAAGTAGCAATGCAAGAGGAAGATCTTAAAGGGAAGCTGAAATGTTTTTAAAATCATGTTTCAATAATGAAACATTATACAGCTGGGCAAAGAGATAAAAATACCACATATTTTCTCAGCGAGCTGGGCAGATTTGAAATCTAAATGTTTAACGCTGTGCTGATGTCTGTCCGAGTGTTTCCTGATATTTCAAAAGGTCACTATGGCAGGGTAAGCAAAAAGTTTATAGCTAATTGCTGGGCAATTGTGTTGTACGTGAAAAGTGTAGTTTCAGTTCAATTCCTCTGGGATTGACGTTTACGCTCTTGGCGCTCTTCATCTGTTAGTTTAGCGACTGACTTAACACGTGGCATATAGACTTGATAGCAATTTCTGGAATGGAGAAACCGGCGCCAACCCGGGTTTTAAAGCCCTGGCGCTCTTTCAGAACCTGAACCAGCCAATCAGCATCAAGCAAAGAGGTGTAACATCATCACCTGGCTCAACCAATCAGCCTGGAGTTAATTGGTGGCTTCACTTTTCGCCTTCATTAATTTTTAAACCCCTGACGAGACAAAACACATTTCATGTGAAAACAAAGTATGTCAGCACAAGCAAACAAGCTTGAAAAATGCTGGCTGATAAACATCCACGAATTCCCATCAACTAGATAAAAGGGCTTGTGTTTATGCTTCCGGTCTCTGGCCAGTGCTCATTCGCACTGATACACTGCCAAAACTCACAAAGGATGAGCGTAAAAATATAACACTCCCCAAGCTACAGCGGGGCATATGTAGTTAACTGAACACACACAATTGGATTTTTTTTTTCATATTTAATAAGATTTCTTCAGCCTTAGCAATTCCTTCAATGAGCAGACATTATGCTGTGAAGGCCATTCATAATGCTGGTATTCATAAACAAAATATAGTATAGAACCTTAGCTTTTCCCGGCTGTTGCGTCTACGAATGCCAGTTCCACTGAACACCCATTGGGATATGCCTTTCAGTTTCCTGTTCATTACATTTCCATTCCTGGCTGTTGCATCCAAACACTGCCACCCCACACGGCCAGTGCGAAGTTATTAGGCTACCCGAACGCAGCCGCCCTTTTCGTTTCGCTGCGCTCCTCCTCTTTTCACGCTTTTTGTGGCATTCTTACCTGGCTGAACATGACCTTGAGCTAGGTTTAGAAATAACTGAGGCTTTTGCAACGGCACTTTATCTTTCCGTCCCTTCACCCACACATACTTGCACCCGCCATGCCCGGCGGCTGGGCACCCCAAGTTTCGTCTGCTAGTTTCATTTTGCATGGAGTTCAGCATTCATAATCGTGCAATGTGCATCAAGTTTCATCGCTCTGCACCGGCATGCTACGCACTGAGGCTGATGCGGGGGAGCACGAGAGTAACTTGGATGGGGTTAGAAATTTTGCTCGCTTCTAAAAGTCAGCATTCATAGGATACAATCTTCGACTCACCCTTAATTTTACATTACAGTTCTCAAAAAAGGGCTGACCTACAACTGAATAGATATGGTAGCTATCCACAGCTGTGGAAGTCCACGCGAGATAAACTGCAGCGAGAGGGTTACTTTCTGTCTCATAACCATCAAAAAGTGTTCTCGGTTGTTGCTTTTCCCCAGACCATACATATTTTATTCCGGTCCCGTCAAAAATGTGTGAACAAGGTTTTTTCTATATTGGTAGCAACAAAAAGCCAAACTTTTGGCTAGAAAAATCAAATGAATGGGAATTTATATTCGGTTTGAACTGCTCCAGTAAATGGCCTTCACATTCCTTAAATGTATCAGTAATAAAAAAAGTCTAGGCACCATCAAGAAAATTAAAAGATAGCTGCAAGTACAGGCCGAGAGGATGGGACAAAGCTTCCGGAGCATGTTGCTCATTAAGTGGTTTTATTTTCAAAGTGATATTAGTAGAGAAGTGGAGCTTTACACTGCCAACCAACCTAAATGCAAGTAAAATTTACTTAAGTGCCAAAAGAGCTGACATAAACAATTCAGAATAGGAATACTGAATCTAATGTGGTTTCAGTAAGAATTAAGGGGCGGTCACGAAAACTTGCAGAAGCTTACAGAAACTGAGTCACAAAATTAAACGCCTGCAAAGTATTCACAAAGCCAACACTTCGCAAAACTCGTGGAACATTGAGCCCACTACAATAAAGTTGTTCATAGTATATATAACACAAGAAGTGGAAGGACCAAAACTTTCCAGTTTTCAGGGAGGAAATCGAGTGTAACTAGATTTTTAGCAAACAAGGCGGGGATGCAAGCACAGCATAGAATGAGAGATTCTACTAAAAAAGTAGAACTACTCAATAAATTTAGCCATAGTCACCGGCCAGATAAGAAAGTCGGGGATGCAAACCACAACAAAGCTGGGCACGCAAACCACAACAAAGAAAGTCGGGGATGCAAATCACAACAAAGCTGGGCACGCAAACCACAACAAAGAAAGTCGGGGATGCAAATCACAACAAAAACACGAGTGCGTACAGGAGGCTGGGCATTCAAAGGCGACACCCCGGGCTTCACGTCTCGTCGATTAAAACGGGCTACTCACTGCTCCCCTCAGGCCCGCCACTTCGTGCTGCAACTGCTCCATCTTGGAGTCCTTGTGGTTGATGTCTGTCTGGGTTTCCGTCGCCCGATTTCTGTTCTCCGTCCACGTGGAGGAGTCCCGGAGCTCTCTAGCACTTTCCGCACGATCCTTCGCACGGTCGGGGTGCGCGAACCGAGAGATGAAAGGCTGGGAACTGCCGGACGACGACGTAGACGGAGCTGCTACGCCGTCCGTGAGCCAGGCGCTGTCGTAAGGGTGCAGCGGGATCGCCGTGCCTCTCGGGTACTCGGGTGACAAGGGTCGGTGGGGAGCCTGCAACGGCTTCGATTCAAGATCACGTTCGGAGTACAAGTATGGTGCCTAAAATGCACCTTGCACTAGCACGTTCAGCATCCTATAACCCCCCCCCCCCTTCCCCCTCTATGCGCTGTAAATAATCCCCAATAATCACAGAAGCCAGTCTGTCATGCTTTTGGATGTCGCGATCTTTGCAGACGAATGCAAGCGTCATTGTTGCTTCGGCGTCCCAACCACTCGCTACCAAAGCTTATGCAAACTGAAAAGCACAAGCTGGAGAGCAACCTGCGGCAGAAGAGGTATCTGTCACATCTACTTCCGCTGATGTGCCTCCACCAGAATTGCGGCGAGCTACAGCATGACACGAGTGTGATGAAACCAAGCAATAATGGGAGGGCCAGAAATGACTGCACGGTAAACATACCTGTCAGGGACACGATCCACGTACTATAGTAGCAGAATTTTCGACCAGACCAACGTGCAAATGTTGGTTAGCGACATTTGGTGTCGACTAGGAACGTTGCAAGCCGCCCGCGGTTCGATTTTCGTAAAGTTACGGAACTGTCATATCTTGCCAAGGTTTAAATTCACACAGCTTCAGGTTTTCGAGGTCTTTAAAAGTATGAGCGTAGTAATGACTGTCTCCAACTTCTTTCAACTTTCAAGTGTGAAGAGGCTCGAGGAATCTGAATCCATTTCGAGTTTGAGTATGTGAAGTTTGAAATTGTTGAACCTCACAGGGGTTCGAGTACGACGATCATCTTCCGAAGGTGTTGCAAATGAAAATATGAGCCTAAGTTGTCAAAATTACTCATGCAATTCGGAAAGTTTTACTGCAGATATTACGTCCGAAATGAGGGTTAAAATGGAGTAGCAGCTATCTGTCTGCTTCCATACCTAACCAGATTGTGTCTTTCTTGCTTCACTGATCAATGATGTTCATTAGTATCTACAAAGACTCTAAAAGCTGTTGGGGCTAGGGTGACCACCTTCCTGCCGGCGGAATGCGGGACACCCTGACCGAGTAAGTAAGTAGAGGACGGTATTTTCACAACTCAAGAAATAACTATTAAGGGAAATTCAACAACGCGCACACCCCCGAAATCCTGTGCTGTCCGAAAGCGTATTATACACATGAAAATTGTACGCGGCAATCAAGCTAAGATAAGTTTCACTCACAGTGATATACTTTTGTTTATTTGTAATGGTAAATATTTTATTAAAAGTATCTAAGTTGAAAACATAAAGGTCGACTGCTCCAGACCCCAATCCATCAAAAGGAAATAAAAAACAGTAAATATGTTTCGGCTTATTGTTTCCTGTCGATACTTACTCTTATATTAACATGCTCCTACACAAAAATAAAACCTTATGTTGTTTTTTTGACCATTGTGAGTTGCAGGTTTTTTGCCTTCTGTAGCCGTCTTCACTAAAAAAAACTAAAAAAAAAAGCTTTCCACAACAATTTTTTTTGTATCATACAGTATGATTTGCAACTAATTACAATAGTTTATTTTTCAGCTTTTGGCGAACAATTTTCGCTTGCAATATTTTGCCATCAAGGGGAGAGGCACAACGGCGCATGTATGTTAGTCTCCTGCAAGAACGACGGTTGCTTCCAGCAGTGCTTGGCAAGAAAATGACATACCATCAAGATTCACACATTTATCAGCGACCTCCGCGGTTCCCCGCTGCCCATAGTTCGGAAGCGCCATAATTTGCGCAGCGAATGTTACGACAATGTGAAATGCAGGACATTTTGAAGATTTTGGAATTTCTTGCGGGACGCGGGACAAGAGCCCTCAATGCGGGACAGTCCCGCGAGTCGCATGACGGGTGGTCACCCTAGTTGGGGCTGATTGGAAAAAGAGGTGAAAAAGGCATAGAGGGAAATGCGTTACCTCATTTCCAACTATAAAAGTGTAATTAAATATTGATGTTGTTCGATGAGGTTCCTGACTGACCCCAGGAATGTTCTTTTGGTTTGGCAGTACAAGCTTTCAATAGAAATGCCCTTCAAACCAGTCTCAGATTGCGATTCAAAGATCGGTTACAAGCACAAGGCACCATTAAAGAACTCTGTCGGCGCACAGAAACGCAGGGCTTCACAGACTACTTCAACCTCGTTTAGCATAAGGATAATCATGCACATGGCACAGGCAGCCTGTTTAACCTGTTTAAAATGCATTCCCTGAACTGTCATTTTTTTAGATGACATCTATGAGTGCAGTACATCACGGATATTTCGTGGGGAGGCACTCACTTGATCGAATGATGTTATAACTTTCGTGAGTTGCTACCTTTGCGATGTTTGATGCAGCTATAAACTACCTGCCTCCCCTGTAACTGAACGTAGCAAAATGTAGCAGGGCTAAGCGGGAAAACAAAATCGCTTGTTACCTTTTTTGTCACCCTCCCGGTTTTCGAAATCTCCTCTCGGTCTTCCTTGGACGTCAAGGCGGGTGGTGGAATCCACGGTTTCCTCTTGTAGGACGGACCACTGAAGTCGGGTATTTTCATCTTCGAGACGGCCGCGTTCATACCCGACCCTAAGCCAGGTAGCGGGGTGATCTGTGAATCGGGCGGAAACGTAGTACCTACTTTCATACATGCAAAACCTTTACGGATCGATTGAAACAAGCACACTCACACGTAACTTTGCCGACTTGGTTGACTTGGTTCCCAAAGCTGAACTTTAGAATCGCATTTCTACGGTGCCATCAGCTTTGGGAATTCAAAGATACATAGAGGTAATTTACCCTTTGTTCAGCTACCACACCAGTTTGTACGGTAGCATTTCGCTTCAAGAGACTTTTAAAACCTACGAAACTTCTGAAATTCGATATTATTCAAAACATTTTAAATGTTTGAAATTGCCGAGGACGCCATAATGCCCGAGTGTTGCCAGAGTGCGTTTCTGCATCAACCAATTCAACCGCCTTAACTGCTTCAACTGGCCTCAACCATGAACATACAGCAAACAAAAACATAACTAGGCAGCAATAAACATATCTAAACTTATATCTATAAGTTTGTGTATTTATGGAAAAAACAATATATAATAAGATAGAACAAATGTTTCTTATGGTTCTTCTAACCTTTAAAATTGCTAATACACGTCTTCCTCGTTAGTATAGTGGTCAGTATCCCCGCCTGTCACGCGGGAGACCGGGGTTCGATTCCCCGACGGGGAGATCTTTTTCTTCTTTCTTTTTTTTTATGTTTATGTTCTTTTTTTTAATCAGATTTACTTTTTCGTGGTTCTAACCAGCAAGCACTATCACGAAATTGTCGCAATGCTTTTGTGCACTTTCGAGGCAATGACCTCAAATGTAAGGGCGCAAGCTCGCTATACAGTTTAAATTGAACATGAGGCCATGTTTGTGTCGTTTTTATCTGCAATCTCGATGTTTATGTCATTTACAATTAGAAGTAGCACAATTTGAACCAAAGTTTACGATACCTTGAGGCCAACGCTAACTGTGGGGGTCTCATAGCTAGCCCACCCTCAAAGAGTCGAGGGCCGATGCAAGGTAGGAGAAGGGGGGGGGGGGGGGTATAAAGTTTTTGGATCCTCCCAAAAGAAGTAAATCTGAGTAGCTGACTCCGTAAGCGGCACATTTGAGATTTCATAGAAAAGGGACAAATCGTGCCTGTTTTGTAAACTCGCCGTTTTAGTGATGACATCTGTAGATTTGATTTATTTATGTGACTATACTTTGGACCCATCTCTGATGTGATAACAAGAATAAAAATAACACCGCTCCGCTAACGTGCTTGCATTTTTCAACTTCACAGGAGAAAAATTGCACAATGTCGTTGCCTCAAAAATTAATCAAGTTCAATATATGCTTAAAGAAAAATCCCCTTGCTCCTCTTCTCCAGGGAGCATTATAAGATATTTGTTTTGCATTTTAATGGTACTTTTAAAGTTGCTCCTGCTGGGCAGCAGTTCGTGCCGTCGCAAGGTGCATCCTAAGCTGCGACCAAGCTCGAGCTAGCCCGCTCTCCTGGCTTTGAGACGCGCATGTCTAGCGCGAGTGCTCGTTCTGCGGAAGAACGCTTCAAAGCGGCGACCTCGAGCTCTCGTGCTTGTGGCACTGGCTGCAGTCACACTGACAGGGTATTTATGCTCGCCGAGGTTTTTATTTCAACCCAGAACAAAATTTACGGCTGGAAATTCGTTTTCTTTCCACACGAAAACAGCTCGTTACTCTCCTTTTTATGGTCATATGTGGCGTTCAAACGATGGGAACCAAACATATTCAAAATCGTGGGTCATCTAGGCAGACACTCAAAATAAAAATATAAAAGAATACGAACCCCATTTTGGTGGCCTCCAAGAAACTGCAAATACGTAGACTGAAAAAAAAAAAAAAAGTGTTGCAGAGATCACAGTAATTGCAGGGTGTTACCAAGAAGAATGCTCATACTCGGTGAGAACGTGACGCTAGCGGTTGGGATAGAACGCGAAAGCTTGGGTACATGACATTACCAGGATCAAAAGACAATAAACCGACTTTCTCTGTGAGCCGACGTCCCCCGTAAACCTAATTTCGTCTAAAAAAACACACTGCGCTTGTAGCGTCTATTCCAGCGAAACAAACTTGTCAGTAAGAAAGAAAACAAAATTAACTTTCTTTGTTGACAATCGTTTTAATCCCACGACGATATTAGGCTTAGGTGGACGTCGGCTCATGAAGAAATTTCGATTTTTTCAATTATACCTTTTAATCCAGGCAACGTCATCTTCTGAAACTTTCGCGTTCTATCCCAACCACAGGCTTCATCGTTCTCACGGTGTTTGGGCTATCTTCGGTGCATAGTTTATTTATCCGGATGGAAAAACGCGGTTCTGTTTTTTTCGGATTGGACGACGCGATGACGGCGTCCGACGGGCCAACGTTGCGACGGACGTGGGGCCGCTACTTCGGAACTACCTTTAAAGGGAAGCTACGGAGCTTCTTGGAAAAAATGAGTTAGAAGTGAATTCTAGTGTATTTTTACCCCGTGAACCCGAATACTTAAACCATTTGCTGCGTAAGTATTGTTAAACGCGAGAAAAACGCGAAAGACAGTCGCTGTCCATGACGTCATCGACGGCTCTTTTGGCTGCCCAAGGCTAGGGGGGCGGGGCTTTAGCCCTATTTTGAAATTGCTCTTGTGGCTCTCCGGCGCGTCGCATTGAAATATAATTTTGATATCTGTTATTCTAAAGGCCAAATGAACGCAATTCAAGCGTTTTTTCTCAAATGTAGAAGTGCCCCATCTTCCAGGAACATTGGATCATGAAATGGTCCAAAATGCACTTGATATGATATGATAATAGAAAATCTTTATTTTCCAGTGCCTGTAGGCTTTTCCCACAAGTAAGCGACCCCTTATTGCTAGTATCCGGCGGCGCGACTACGCGTATAAGAACTTTCGTCCGAAGTCCGAGCGAGGCACCGAGCACCGACACCGCTCCCACGGATCATGTTACTCGGAGCTGGCTGTTACCGGGCGGGGTCTCCGCAGAGCAGACTCTCTCAGCCTACGGCGCAGCGTGCGTCTCGCTGCGCCGTAACGCCTGTGTGGCAACGGTAAACGAAAACCTCAGCCTGTGTGGCGAAAACCCCAGCCTGTGTGGCGACACGGAACCTCAGCCTGTGTGGCGACAGAAGAATGGAACCCCAGCCTGTGTGGCGACAAGGAACTTCAGCCTGTGTGGCGACAGAAGAACGGAAACTCAGCCTGTGTGGCCACCCCAATTCGCACTATAAGTATTAAATCTCACTTTTATCTTCTTTTACCAATGTGAGTAATCTCCTTTTCGACCTTGCCATCCAAGCTAAGACGAAGAAAGATAACATGCCTACAAACAACCTAGTGGTCTACTGTGTGGTGCACAAACATGGGTGAAGTATTATACATTTAAGACAAAATACAAATCATAAAAGAAGAACTGACAACGAGCACAAGCAAAAAACTAGGGCTAGGCTTGACCTGCCCTGCTTAAAGGGGCCCTCCAACAGTATTTGAGCGTCGACTTTTTTTTGCGGTTTCTACACGCTAGTGGTCCCGGAAACCCAGTGGACAACGAAAGAGTTCGAAAATATTAGCGCATCATATTTTAATTTGACAACTCGGAAACACCTCCTCCGATGGTGGCGCCGCGAGGTGCCGAATGCGCGCGCATAACGGCGCTCCCTTTCACTATACGTCACATTCTCTGGGTTTCGTGATTGGCGACAGCCGTCCCAGGAATTTTGAAGCGAAATAAAATATATCACACGTTAACCGTCATTATTTCTCTAACAAGTCATTTTTATAGAGCTAATAAAGTTGCAAAGTAAAGTTCAAAAAGGGCGAAAACAACGCCTCGTCGCTCATGCGCGCCTCCCAGCGGCGTCCGCGACGTACCATCGCGAGCAGACGACAAGTGATCCGTGTAGTCAACGCGCATCGTATTTTCACTTGTGTGCCCCCGGTCCCGGTCAACTAAAAGCAGTAAGAGGAGCCAGGGGAACCCTTATTTTCTTTTAATGCTGTGACAGACTTTTCACTGTTCGAGTGAAGTGCGGCGACGGGATCCAGCTTTTGCCCAACGGGACCGCTCACCAGCTTGTAGCTCCTACTCGCCGAGGTGGCTCCGGTGGCGCAGTTGCGGGAGTCTAGTCTTCCGCGGCAGTCGAAGCGGACTGAGGCAGAGACGCGTCGCGGCGCATGCGTGGAGTGTCCTCGTACGGCGTGACGCCCAGCTCCGCACTCAAAATCCGATAAGGCCGGTAAATTCATCAATGATGGCAACCCGATCCCAAAGCTACGATGGTTGCAGCTAGGCCTAATGGCCGACGAGCCGACCGGGCCGGCGCTTTGCTCCAATCGCCCGGGCCGATGCTTTGCTCCCATTGGCCAACCGCTTTGCTCCAATCGCTAAACTGTTTCATTTTACGTCATGAAGCGCAATGTTTTGCTTATTTAAAGTTGTTTTCTGCAATATTTAGTTTTCTAATAACTCACAAAATATTGCGAATTTCTGTAATATTTTTTTTCCTCGGTGATCCTGCTTTCTTGGAGCTCCGTTTCAGCGTCAACTTCAAACCGGTCAAAAAAGTGTTGGTGGGCCCCTTCATCCATTCGCGTAATTGTTGCATAACATCTTGATGGGCAATAAAAATATCAAAGTTATTCTGATAAGCTATATTGAAATTAATTTGAACCCTCAAAAGAGGTGAAACACATGATGTACAAGAGGGGTAAAAAGTTTGTTTGTTCCCAATGATTCGAAGTAGAACATGGAAGTCAATAGACTGCAATAAGTCCGTCGAGTTTACCTCACCGTGGGCAACTTTCTGTAAAAACATATAACCTTGGTATTGTCTTCTCACAGTCAGTTTGTGCGATAAAAACCTGTGAAGCAATGATTCGTAGTGGTAGAAACACCCCCTCCCAATATATCCTGTACCAATTCAAATACACTTTTTTTTTTTGCGACAAAACATTTTTTTATTGCCAATAATATCGGCATTAGACACACCCTCAGTCCGCGAAAAGAATGGCTCCCCCACTCAATCACGCGTGGACGAGGAGGTTAAAAGTATAAGGAGGGGGCATGTTGCAATATTGGTGAAGCCTAGTCATAAAAAGTTTAAACGATGTTGTGCCCAGCGTGACCACAGATCTCTCTGGCGATTGGTGCGCGTGACATGTCACGTGTGAGGTGGATGGTTCATTGTAGAAGGACTCCTTGCAGGCTTGCGCGCGCTCCGTCCGGTAAGTTTTAAGGCTAGCCCACATGGCGCGTTTTTCAGTGCGCCTAGACGCGCGTCTCGGCTTGGCGCGCGCGCTACGCAGGACGCGTGCGCCCAGTCAAACCACACGCAGCGCTACCGTGCAGAGCTTCGCGTCTGTGTTTCCGAAGCGTCTGCCCAACGTAGCCAGACGTGCTTAA